ATGACAAGTATAACAGAGTAACGCAATAATATAATTGTTTTGTATAAATATACAGGATGATCTCTGGCGTGTGCGGTGAGAGTGTGGAGTGGGTGACGCCTCTCGGGCTGCCCGTGTTACAACCGTACTACAGGCGACCGCCCGCTCAGGACACGCAGCAGTACGTACATACTACACGTGACTATTTAAACTAATCTCTAATACATTATCAGCCTATCAGAGCCCACCACATCTCACATGGAAAATGTTTACGCATTAATCAATACGCTTGCCAAGACGGATTGGCGATTTCAAACTTATAATTTGAAATTATAAGTCCATGTTTCTTCACAATGTTTTCCTTCATCGGTCAGTGGTGTCTAAATACTTTCACAAAGTATACATGACTCGGAAAAATGACATTTGTACTTGCTAGGTTTCGAACCCGGAATCTCTTGCACGAGAGCGGTCCCTTAACCTTTAAGCAACCACGACTCTATGAGCTATCCTACTAATATTATAATTGCGAAAGTCTGTGAATGTATGTTTGTTACTTCTTCACTCTCCAACGGCTGAACCGATTTTGATAAAATTTTGTATACAGCAAGCTGACGTCCAGGAATAACATATAGGCTACTTTACATCCCGGAAATCCGCGGGTAACACCGCGGGGCGCAGCTAGTATATAATAATGATTGTTATATGTGCAGACGTCCGTGCACCATGAAGCAGCGTAACGCGTTCCCTCCCAACTTCATCCACTCGCTGGACGGGTCACACATGATGCTGACGGCGCTCCGCTGCGGCGCGCGAGGGCTCACCTTCGTGTCTGTACACGACTGCTTCTGGACACACCCCGACACTGTGGACGAAATGAATAAGGTTACTTAAATCATCACTTACATAACTAATATAATAGGTATATAACTGTCAAAATTGGTGTGAGATAGTATTGTATGGTAGTATAAGAGCCAGTTCCACCAAACGCTGTTTTTTAAATCTAAACGGGGACTTTATCTTAACTGTCCGTCAAAATATTAAGATCGTGCGATGAAAAATTAATAAGGCATTATTAAATGTAATCTTATATTACCGACGACCAAATTATGCGGTCTTGTTAAAAGACGGCCAAATTAAAGTAATTAAGTTTAACACATGTTTGACGCGATACACAACTATATTAGATTGATTTTAGTATTTCTATCTGGACTTAATGACCACTCTCAACCCGGTCTAAACACTGGCTTGGATCACCCATCCATGTAACGTCAGCACCTGACGTTGCTTAAACCACTTGGCGAAAATTCTCCTCCCGAGAATCCTTAAAATATATATGTTCATAGTATTTTGTGAAATTTTTTCTAACTCTTACCATAAAATTTTTTGTTCCATACTATATAATTAGAAATATAATTCAATCAAGTTTACTTATTTCTCAATCCTTTGTTTCCAGATATGTCGGGAGCAGTTCGTGGCTCTTCATTCGCAACCGATCTTGGAAGATTTATCAGATTTCCTTGTGAAGCGATATAGTTACCCTGAAAGGTAATTTATTTATTGTCAACATGATATGACAAAAAGCAAAAATTACTCACTTTAAATGAAATTGTTATTTTTTACGGATTTATTTTAAGTATTTTTATTATGTTACTGAAACCGAAAATTATATTGTAACCAAAAACTTCTATGTAACGAAAATTTGGTCTAAATCCGAAAAAACATATTTTTTCTCAACTGTATACTAGTGAAAGTCTTAGATATAATTCACTTATCATTTGTAAAACAGTATAGTATACAAATATAAATACTATTAATATATTTTTTCAGTGAAATTGAAACAAGTAACGTCGGTGCGGCGAGTAAAAAGCGAGTCAACGCTCTACTGAGAAAAGTTCCTGAAAAAGGCGACTTTGACATCAAAAGCGTTCTGAAATCAGTTTACTTTTTCAGTTGAAATAATATAATACGATCATATGAACACTTATACAGGGTGACTGGTGAATTACTATCAATATTTAAGGAGAATACTCGGTACATGATTCTCATTCGAATTATGTAAAAAAAATAGGTACTTAATTTTTGACCAAATTTCCGTATAAATAAATAAAGTTTGGACACGTACCCAGCCTTGCCGGCGCCAGTGTGTCGCTACTCCCCAACCCCCGCCCCGTGGCTAATTAGTCGGGCGAGCGCCGCCGTAAGGTCCGTACGTTCGGCTTCCCGCGCGCGCGCCTAGCGATCGATCTTACGCGTATACCTAATAATAATCTGTCGTGTGTGCGTGTGACCCGTTATTACTTATTAGTAATTAAGTATGGCTTTTCAATACACAAATGCAGAATACTTGGACATGGTTCATGCGTATGCGCGTGCAAATGATAGCTTGCCGGGCGCAATCAATTTGTACCGGGAGATGTTCCCCAATCGTCGAGTACCTACGGCCAGCGTCATCTTAAACGCTAATCAAAGATTACGAGACTTCGGACAGTTCCGAGTTCCAACACATGCCCAAGGAAACGTCTTGTGTATGCTACAGAGTATGTAAACAGAGAGGAGTTGAAATTAAAAATCAATAGTGATTTCAAAACTATTAAAAGTGACCCATTCGTATTAAATCGTGTAAAAGACAATATGTGTAAACGTGCCGAACTGTGTGTCACACGAGAAGGAGCTCGCTTTGAACATTTCTTAATGTTAGTGTAGTTATGTAGGTAAATAGGTAGTTTAATGATTGACAATTGTTGTAAATAAGTATGATTCCATTTTTAAATACGCCGGAAATACCAAGATAGGTAAACAGTTCATATTATTTTTTGTGTCAAGTTCACACCATTTACCTAGTCAATAAATTGGTTGCTTAAACGAATGAAATATCTTGGTATTTTTGCATGTCCTAAGCCAGGATTAAAGTGTGAAGGGAATTGGATCATTTTTGTTTATCTAAGGTCTAACACGCGGCGGCGCGCGGCGTTTGGATGTAGGTAAACTACCGCGCGATAACTAAATGTACCTACGTACATAACTGTTTTGTGTCGATAACGCAGCTAGGGTATCCACACGATCCGTAATTAATTACATAACTTTTGGTTAACTTTACTTAGAAGTTTATTAATATTTATGTTATATTAATTTTTATTTTGTCATATATGATCGTCAACTACCACGTCCTTAAATATTGATAGTAATTCACCAGTCACCCTGTATATGATTATATAGGGTTGAACTTAAATCGAAAATATTGTTTACAACTAGCCTTTAGAGAGCAAGTTCACTATTATGCCTAAGAAAATAATGTTTTGAATTTTCTTGAGACTACGACTTGGAGATAGACTGATTTGTAGTAGATTGATGTAGGTAGGGCTGCTGACGAATTTTTCTATACAAAAATATTCACTAAAGACTTTATTAGTTAGTACTTTATATGTATTAATTGGAAAACAAATTGTTTGCGGTCAATTTGTCCAAACAAGATTGTGTATTAAACAAAAGGGCTTGAATTTAAGGAACGGTTATTATGCTGCTTATTTGCTTGTTAATAGTAATGAAATTGCATATGTTAAAAGGTATACAAAAGGCCTTTGAACCTAGTTACCTCTCATAATTTACAGTTACAGCTATAACTATAAACACGTTGATTATTATTAAAGCTTATATTTGTTGTTTTTAACCAAATAATATACACTCTATTTCCATTTGGAAATATTTTTTCCTCACTAATTGTAGTACAAAAGATTAGTCAAACTCGAAATGAAATAGATTGTGATACAGATATACGGTTTTTTGTTTTATTTCATTTTATTTATCATTTCAAAAATTTATATCCTAATTTAACATCAATAGCAGAAGTTCTGTCGAAAACTGAAACATTTTGGCTTATCATAGTATTAAAGTTTATTATTTTTCACATCTGCTTATGCATTATGATAATACCTTCTGTCTCTCATACATCCTAAATTATGCACGAAATTTGGTCAAAAACATGACGTCAATACTTTTAATCTAAAAAGACCCATAAAAGGATGTTGGCAGAAGTACATAATTTCCAGTACCGGATTTAACAAGCATGAGGCGTATTGTTACAAGTGGCGCCATCTGTGGCTTAATAATTATAATATACTATAATCCTTAGAATCATTTGTATAACTGGTTATACTAAACCATTGTAACTTCGTAATGGCATCATTTATGTATTTGATAACTATAAATACTGGCTTCATCTATTTTATAGGACATTACTGGAAGTAACGCTGAACATTAAAAAATCAAGTCTGAAACTGTACTTCGACCGCTATAGTAAATGCTGTGATAAGTAATACTAAATAATCGTTCAGATTGCTACAAATATTTTTATGGGAACAACTTTGAAAGACAAGATGTTTACCCAAAGCTATAAATTGGGGTTATGAGTAATAAAAAATCATATATTCTAAAACGCATATATTTGGTTACAAATTGCATTCGACATGGGACACAGCATAATCACATCAATCATTTTACAAAGAACATCTACTCGACGAATATAAATAATACAAAGGCATACAGTTGGGCTTTTAACTTACAATTCAAGTTTAACAATCAAATAACAAGTAACAGATGCAATACAGCGGGAACATATTTGTATATTTGGCTCGAGTGCATTCTACAACTTGTTTTAAATTCATGACAGAACCTACGACCTCTTGAATTTTAACCAAACTATCATAAACACTACACCGTTTTTTAATACGTACAATGATTCAGGCTATAAATTATATTACTATTACTTTTCATTAATAACGACATTGTGAAATTCGACAAGTATGAAACAGAAAGTTAAAAAGTTAAATAAGACAAACCTTTTTTTAAATAAAATAAGTTAAAACACAAAATAGCCTTTAACTTATGTATTGTTATAAAAATATTTTAACCCTTTTTATTTTTTATATTAAGGAAAAAGACAATATTAATCTAATTACGTATAGCCTTGTCTAAGGGGTAGTCAGCTGTTAAAAATATATTAAATAATTCTATATACTGTATGTTTATTGTCTGTCTTGTTGCCTGACGGAAGTGTGCGGCCTCCCGCCGGGGTCGGCGCCCGCGCAGCTCGTGGTGCTGCGAGATGCGCTCGAACTAGATATAAAACATCACACATGTATAAGAAAACTCTAAACGACAGAGACAAACTTTTTCCATTGCAATATGAGATTACGATTATTATTTATTTAATTTACGGTTTTTTCAGACGTACATGTACTTTTATAATTATAAGTTACTGGCTGAAAATAGAAACTGTTTTGTCGAATTAAATAACCAAGTAGGTTGTACCTGGGCGACAAGTTTTCAACGTCCACGTCTCGGAAGCATATCCACTGCGCTTTCAACTCTTCGCCTTGGGACATTTCCAAAGAACCTGTATAGATGAGCAGGTCATCCATCAGGACCTGTAATATATACAAATAAATTTAGTTTATCATTAATATCGATTTATTTATTGTAAGAAAATTGATACATACTCCGAATTCCTTAACACCTCTCGTAGGCGTCTTTCCGTAGTTCCAAATCTTCATTCCATACACAGTAATAGGAACGTCAAATACGAAAAAAACTCTGTAAAAACGTATGCAATATCAAATCAGCATTAGGTAACTCATTAATATTAATGTCAGAATGATTGGTTTTAAATCTGTAAACAATATGTAAAATTTCTACAACATGTAAGTATGTATATAAGGAGAAGACAAAAATATGTAGTATTAAATTTTAATCCAAAATATAAATAAAATTGAAGTTCTGTTGTTATATAGAAATAACCGTTTTTACTACATGCATACGGTAGTAATACCAAATATTTTGTTAAATACTTTTTGACTATCCGTCTGTCTGTTTGTTCCGGTTAATCCCTGAAATGGCTAGATCGATTTTGATGAAAACTTTTATCGGCAGGTAGCCGATGTAAAAGGAGTAATTTAAGCTGCTTTTTAAGTAAGCGTTATCAAGTGCGATTTGGAGGCGGAGTGCATGCGGCGTTTAAAGATTTTATTTTCAACACACAGTCGCGTATAGCAGCTCGTTTTAAATAAAGTTCTATACCTAATTTGATTTTGCGCTTTTCTGTCGTTGAAACACAGACAATCAACAAAAATCATCACAGATAATACATATAGTTTAGTTATAACCGACTTTAATATATTTTATTACCTGTTGAGTGTGTGTGGTAGTATAGGCGCTAGCCACGAGTGGTGTGCGTGTGATGCTCGTGTGTTGTGTCCGTCAACCAGTCTCGCCGGTGTCCGTACATCGCGACACCCACTCATAGACTTGAGTATATTGACACTCGCGGGTTGTGCGCACACATCTGACATTATGATGACAGATATAAAATAACAGTATTAATTATTATAATAGAGAATGGGGATGGTTTACATTTAAATAACTGTTTTTAGGATAGGTAATAAATATGTGGTTTGTGTTATTACGTATCGTAAAAAATAATTTTATTACTTATACATATATGCTATTGATCGTCAACTTATGGGTGGCAACACTAAACGAAACAAACTTTTTGGTACTAAGGATGCTTATTTAAAACTTTTTAAATTAACTGGTAAACTTATTGAAAATAGCTATTACGTTATCATATTATGCAAATAGATTAATAATTTATAATATTCCAAGCTCACTTGATTCCGTCACGTCAATCATATTTCCATCGGGGTCGTATAATTCTACACCAGTTAATCCAACATAGTACGGGTCGCCCCACGTTGAGAATATACTGATCTGTAGAACGAATCCCGTGGGAGCGGATGGCTCCAGGTTACCGTACAACCAGGATAAAGACGGGTTAGAAGACGACTCGCTCAAACTAGAAAAAATGCAACTTTATTCATTATGAATATGATTAGGATGAAATAAAATTGTAATTTTATAGTCACATTAAATAGTTTAAAAAAACATTTAGCTTAAACTGCAGTTATTCATAAAACTATTCTATTTTGTACGTCAAGGTTAAATGATTTTGGATAGCGGCGCTAACCATTTCCCATGAAGAGGTCTCTTAGAATAGAAGGTCCATTTATTGTATGTTATAGATCCGAAACTAACAGTAGATCAAGTAGACGGTAAACGGCATCCTATTGCTAATTTAAGAATAATTGTAGTAAGAGATGAATAAGAAAGTTTTGGATACACTAGAATTTAGTCTAAAAAACCATCTCTCTAGAAGTTACACTACTATGTTAAATTCGATTATAGTCCATTAACCATTATAACATCATCTACATAGCAAATATAATATAAGTCAACCCGTCCGGTCCATACAAGTCGACACATTGCACGTGATCGTAAGCTCCGTCCCCCGGCGCTCGTCTCAGTAAGACGCGCCTCACGAGAGAACCCGCCGCCAGAGACATGTGTCGCACGCCGCAGTACGACAACTGGAGGGAGGCGTTGTAGTTCCATACGCGGATACCTGGAGATATGAGAAAGGGATGTGTACACTACAATAGACTAATAAGGTCCTAATGAGATCTAAGACTTTCGAGACTATTCATTTAAATGAAACTATTGCTGATAATGTCCTCTATCCGTGAAAAATTAAAATGGTTGATACAGAGCAAAGAAACGTCGGGAGTATGTTATTAAAAATAATTAAATAACGCTTAATAATCCGAAAATAATAGTTTCATTTAAGGTCCTGTTTTGAAAATATAATAGTGATGAATAATATTATTATTTAATGAAAATTTATAATGTAGATCCTAAGTTTTAATCTAGATGAGGTAATGTCACTAAGAATATTTTTTCACGATAATCAAATATTTGATTGTATATTGAACTAATTATCCAACGTATACTATATGTACGTACCTGTTATTTCTGTAGGTTCCTGTAGTTCCATCACTATGTGACAGCACTGTGAGCCGGGAGTGAAGCTCGTACACCACATGTCCTCTGAGTTGGTCGTTATATTCTTTCCGTTAAACAAGTTTGAACAGTCCATGTAGTTCCCGACACATTCATCTTCTTCGCTATACGAGATGTATGAATAAGCTCGATGGACCCTGATTGGATTTTCGTTGCAAAGAATTTCTAGTCCTGAAAAATGCTATTATAAGCTAAAATTTCATTAAGAATATTTTTTGGTTTCATTTATTATACTGACCAGCTAGCCCAATCAGATTGCTATGTCCCCAGTTAGTCATTAAAGTTAATTTAATTCTTTTCGCCACAATTTTGATCTCTCCCTCTAAGTCTATTTCTCCAGATTTAGGTGAACTAACACTGTTCTTGTTACCATCAGCGGTAGGTGGTCGTTTATCAACCACGTTACTTTCTTTGAGCGGTTCGTTGTCTTTCAATAGAGCTTGGAAGTTTTTATCGTTTGCGAGTATTAATTCGAGAATACTTGAATCTTTTGTGAAGAGTATTGTCTGGAAGACGTCAAACATACAATAATTTCACATATTAAATGTCGGATTATGATTAATTTACTTTGATTGCTTATTGTGCCTGTAAGCTTACGTCATATTTCTATTAATAGTACACAAATATTAGTCTAAAAATTTTACGAACATCTCCGAATGCTGAAAGAGGTCCCTTCAATTCTCCACACGCCCTAGCTATCTCCCCGTGAAAGATGACCTGATCGTCCAGTTTAATTTGAACCACGCGGACACCACGCGTAGAGTATATACGGGACTTGTTATAGTTCTGTAAACACAAAAAACATATTGAAGTTATAACTATCATGTGTCTGCGCTTTCAATAACATTCAACTTTATTATCGTCTTTGTAAATAAATTAAACGTGAAATTGTTTTTTTTTTGCAAATATGTTTGCTTATAGGAATAAAAAGTTAATTATAAAAATTTATAAATATTACTAAATTGTTATTGTATTTGTAAAATAAAATAATTCATTGTTATATATTGTAAAGTACAATGTTTTCTAAAATGGGTCATTACAAAAGCTTATCAAAGCTAACGTTCTACTAGAAATCGATTATTGTCGCACTGCATTTTATCTTCCAATTTTACAATCTAGGTATATGCAAAATTAAAAAAACCGAGGACTACCAAGAACTCTATTCCCGAGACGTAACGAAAAAGATACAAATTTAATTTTAAATCGTACCCATATTCTCAGTAGCGCCAGTATCGTAGTAGTATCAAGTAGTATGCTGATAGCTAGCGGCGTCCCTCTAGGTACTGAGCCACACCACGTATGTTTGTCATCTCTGGTACGAACCACGCCGTCTACTAAATTGGACACGGTGTCCACTACACGAGAAGCCCCGCGATGATCGCCTGTCACAGAATCCGTCCACACCTTGCCAAATATATGAATATTCTTTCAATACATGAACTGTTAAAATTGTATGGAACAGATATATCTACTCTGCGTGCTACGACCCTAAGAAGAGTAAATTAGTGCAATAATGTTGCTAACATTAAAAAAACGTGGAAAGAATATTTCAATTCCAATTTTAATAAGAGAATAAAGAAGGAATAATTTGTCAAAACGTGCAGGATTTTAACCTGCAACTTCCGCAATGGTGCATTCCAGCCCCTTTTCCCGTTTTGCTTATTTGCTAGATAGATCATTATTTTTTTTAATAAAAAAAGAATACTTTTATTAGATCAAACCAAGAAATCTATTAAGATTTGAAGCAATTATGTTATCCTCAAGTACGTGATGGAATATTTCGATACCTCCCACGTAAGTTGTTGTATCACCAAAACTGTAATTTTACAGTAGAGAGTTTTAAAAATTCAAATTAAACCAAAATTTGCATTTATTGATGCATCTTTTTAAAATTTCGTATCTAAGCGCACGGTAGTGCGCCGGCCAAGTTCGACAGGCCGGCGCATGCCGTGCACTATATTTACACGAACCGTTTCGACCCACTTTTGACCCCCCTGTAGCTCAGTGCCTATTGCAAGTACAGAGATAAAATTTGAACTTGGCAGGTTAATTTAATTATTTAAATTATATAATATTTAAATTATATAAATATAAATAATTATATATATAATAATAAATTAATGTTAAAATTAATTAAGTGTTACGTACAGCACAAAAACCTGCAAAGTTCAAATTGAGAAGTATTATAATTTTAGATATTTTTAACCAAGCACCTACGTATTTTCACAACTATACCATATTTTAAGTTGGGTGTATGGTAAAGTGAATTTCGGCCAGATGGACCGTTGACGTGAATAAGGTGGCGGGTTGTGGCTGGATGTGGAAGGCAGAGGACTGGGTGTGGCGGCGAGTCTTGGGAATGGGAAATGTTTACCAGTGGATCATGCTGTTGATGAAGATGATTATGATCGATTTCAAAGTGCATCTAAACTTGGCATTAGATTGGATTTCACCCCTTTTTTAGGCAAACAATTAGCCGATTGGAACTTGGCCCCCTTTTTAACAGGCATGTTTTTGGTGAGATTTAAATTTAACATAATAGTCTTCTTAACTACGTTAAAAGATATTTTAAGTAATAAGCCTATTTGCGGAGACATTGTTATTATATTGTTCATACAACATTTTACTCCGTAGTAGAAGCTATAGAAGTTTTAGCATCTGATACTAACAACATTTTACGACGGCACCCAGACTGCATCACTTGTGGTATATGATAGTTACAACTGTATACGTTGAAAAATATAAGTCTTTCTCTGTTGTATGTAACTCATACTCGCGCCCCTCGTAAACAATTGCATAGGCATATTCAACAGAATAATCCGTTCGCGTTTGAAAATTACAACATTATGCGTCTGACAAATCCATTAAAAAATAGTGTTTTTGTTGTTTTTTTACGTTGAATAGATGTATTGATTCGTAATAGGATTTTTTAAATAAAAAAGCAAAATAGTATTTTTGTGGCATACAACAACTTACGTGGGACTGGGAGATATCGATTTATATAAAATCAAATTAAGACGGAACGTCTCAAATACATAAACAAGATTCAGAACTGTTTTGTAGATCAAGAAAGCGGAAAAAGTATAATGTATTGGTAACAACATTTTTGCACTTGGCTGTAATATTTTTAAGTTGGCTGTAATTTTGTAAAGTTTTTATTTCATTTACAGCATTTAAATTGTTAAGATGTCTTTTATAGAAATCTGCGAATAATTTATTAATAATAATCGTTTTGTTTGTCAATCCCAATGAAATGTTATTTTTTACGTCTTATTCCTTTACCTTACCTTTTCAACTCCCACTGGTTGGCCGTTGGCATCAAACATCTCAACGCCATTAAGACCGACAAAATATTTGTCACCCCAATTGGAATATATTTTGATTTCCAACAATCTGCCCTTTGGAAGCGAGGGAATAACAAATTCACTCTTTGACTTTTCCTTCTGAGTATTTTGATTGGAAACTGAGACTGAATCACTGGCAGCTTTCTTTGGTTTATGTTTATTGGCAAAAGCTTTGCTATGAACATTCTGACTTGAATACGAGGTCGTGTCTTTGTGAATGTTTCCTTTGTTATGTTTTTGAAGTTCAACATTGCCTCTGTTCCTTTTATTCTCTTGAAAACCTGAAAGGAATGAACGTTTTGCTAATGTCACACAAATACGAAGTATTAGACGTTAATTGACATTCTTAGGTCGAAATATGCTTACGTGAGCCAGTGATGACGTCATGGAAGTCGTCATCGAGCCCATAGTTTCCCATAGACTTGTGATGATGTCTCGGTGTCACGTAATGTGGGAGCAGTTCTGAGAGAAAATCATTGGATACTCCGTTCGACCCATCACCCCAATCGATGTCGTGGTTCAGCGCTGGTTTTCGTCTATTTTGAAAATGACCTGACAGAAATTTAAATACAATTATAATAATTTTCTTTAAAATTCCTTATACCAAATATTAATATACCATTATTTTTGTTGTCCCGTAGTGTACCAGCAGAATATGCGACTGGCTTCTGAGACTTTAATATATCCATTGTTGTGTCCAACGATGTTCTTCGGTTTAAACTAAAAATAATAAAATTTTATTAATGAAAATTTATTTTATTATTGGTTCAAGTGAAAATATGATTATTTTATGTATGACTGAAAAGTAATAAAACAATTACCCCTGATTATCGTATTTTGAACTTATTAATTTATTGTTTGGTATTTCATAACTTTTTGAAGTATCTCGACTACTGCTGCTTATATGAGTCTCTTTCATTTCCCTGAAATAAAAAGTATTTAGTTAAAAAAGTAGAAACCTGTTTATTTAAGAATATGTTATTATTTCGTCTACTTCTAGTAGTTTTCACGGTTTAATAAAATTTTAAGTAGCACCAAATTTTTGATAGATTGCACTATTTATTTAATAATTTAACTTACTTTGTTACGTCTTCAAGCCAGTAAGGAACTGAAAAGTCGTTTTCTGAACACTCCAACTCATGTTGATGAGCCATTTTAAAGCCATCTGAGTTTATTTTATTTTTGGATATAACGTTGCGCTGGTTATTGAACTTGTAAATAAATAATTAATTTGGCCATCATTTTAATGCATTAAATGGAATTTCTATAATTCCCTTTAGAATGTACGAGGTAATAAATGTAAAATATTTTATTGTTAAGTATTTTACATCTAAAAACTTACAAAGAAGCGAAGTATTGCACTTTTTTGTTGTATTTAATAAGCATTATCACTTGCGACTTTTGAAACATATTTGTTTGTTTGACCTTGGTTGTCATAGCTACTATTTGTTTCTAACACAAATATTTTAATGCCTTTTAAATATAAATTTAAAATTATTTATGATTATTTAAAAACAAGTTTATAGCTAAATCTTTTTTGTATCCCATAGCTAATCATTAGTAATTGAATTTTAACTAAAATACATATCATAAAAATTTAGGTTTCTATAAGTTTTTGAACTTGCACACGTCATTGTGACAATATAGATGACGTTCGTGTCAACATGCGGAATAACCTTACATTTTTTGAAAAATATATTCAGTAATAAAAATACTTTATTAACTAAGAACAACAACTGATATTTATTAAAACATAAATTAATTTAACATAGGGTATAATCTTCTTATTGAATTAACAGCAAAATGTCTGATATAAATCAAAAAGAACTTGAAGAAAGGACTGCTAAAGCCGAAAAGGAAGCAAAAGCAATTGAAGAGGAATTAAATAAGCTTGCAAAAGGAGATCTGAGTTATATTGGGGAAGAACGTCTTGACAAACTTATGTCTGACAATGAGAAATATAAACATCGGCTAGCCATTCTTCAAAACGCTATTGAGGTTGAAAGATCAGCAGGGTCTTCTAAAAAGCCGTCAAAAAAACGCCCTAATCTACTAAACGATATTAATTCTATCGAAGGTACTATCTGCATCTTAGATGAACTTAAAAATATATTTGAAATTGCAATTACATCTGCTTACCCAGAATTAGAGGATCCACCTGTTGTGTTAACATTATCGGGCAACAACCCTAAATTTGGAGACTATCAGTGTAATTCTGCTATGCCTATTTCACAATTGCTAAAATCTAAAAATGTTAAGACGAATCCCAGAGAAGTGGCAAACAATATTTTAAATAAGATGCCATCATCTCCACTCATTGAGAAAACAGAAGTTGCCGGGGCTGGTTTTCTAAATATCTACTTGAATCGGGCATTTGCTGAACATGTCCTCGGCTGTATTTTACGACTTGGTGTAAAACCACCTCCAGTCAAACGAGAGAGGATAATTGTAGACTTTTCTTCACCCAATATTGCAAAAGAAATGCATGTAGGACATTTAAGGTCGACTATTATAGGAGATAGTATTTGTCGAGCTTTGGAGTTTCTGAACCATGATGTGCTCCGCTTAAACCATCTCGGTGACTGGGGAACTCAGTTTGGAATGCTGATTGCTCATTTACAGGACAAGTATCCAAATTTTAAGACACATTCTCCTCCGATATCAGATTTACAAGCATTCTACAAAGAGTCAAAGAAAAGGTTTGATGAAGATGAAGTATTTAAAAAGAGGGCATACTCGTGTGTAGTTAAACTACAGTCTGGTGATCCTGATTACATATCTGCTTGGAAGTTGATCTGCGAAGTCTCCAGGCAAGAGTTCCAAAAGATATATGATCGCTTGGACATAAAAATTGAAGACAGGGGAGAATCATTCTACCAAAGTAGGATGGAAAAAATTGTGAAAGAATTAAAAGATGGTGGTTATTTAGAGGAAGATGAAGGAAGGCTTATAATGTGGGGAGACCCTAACAACCATGATGGAATTCCACTTACAATTGTGAAGTCGGATGGTGGTTATACATATGACACTTCTGATATGGCTACCATAAGAAATCGTGTGGAAGAAGAGAAAGGTGATCGATTTATATATGTGACTGATGTGGGCCAATACACTCACTTCGTGCTCATTGATGGATGCGCCAGGAGGTGCGGTATACTCAAAGGCGATAAGAGAATAGAACACGTCGGATTTGGTGTTGTTCTTGGCGAAGACAAGAAGAAGTTTAAAACACGGTCTGGTGACACTATAAAGCTGATACAATTATTAGATGAAGGTCTGAAAAGAGCTCTCGACAAACTGGTAGAAAAAGGACGCGACAAAGTTCTTACGCCCGAGGAATTGAAGCAAGCGCAGGAAGCGGTGGCCTATGGCTGCATAAAATACGCCGATCTGTCTCACAACAGAATCAATGATTACATATTTTCGTTTGATAAAATGTTAGATGATAAAGGCAACACCGCGGTATACTTATTGTATGCTTTAACTCGCATCAGATCTATTGCGAGGACAGCACAGATATCCACAGACAAACTGTTGGAGGAAGTTCAAAAATCTGGGCTTAAACTGGTTCATGATGCCGAGTGGAAACTTGGCAAAGTTCTTCTTAGATTCCCTGAAGTTATTCTTAAAGTTTCTACTGATCTTTACTTGCATAGTCTGTGTGAATATTTATATGAAATCAGTTCAGCGTTCACAGACTTCTATGACAAGTGTTATTGTGTTGAGAAAGACAAGAGTGGTAATATTGTTAAAATACTCTATGAAAGATTGATGCTTTGCGAAGTTACTGCCAGAGTTATGGAACGATGTCTAGACATCCTTGGCATCAAGACGGTCTCTAAAATGTAACATCATTATAAAATCACAATATTTTTAACAACTATTTAAATAAAACAAAGTTTGAATGTAAATCTTTTATTTTATTCCCAAAAACCGCTACAAAACTATACCAGGGTCCACTATTGAAGGTGACATGACATAATATTATGAATTACTTAAATATTAAATACAGATTATAACAACATTGATATACTGCAATTGTAGATTATAATTACAAAATTTTAATAATTTGATTTATTACGTAAATTATTATTTAAATTTTAATGTATTATACATAGGATGTAATTCCAATTCATGAGGTAGTTTTTAAACTACAGAATATATTTCAAGGAAATTTTATTTAGAAATTGCTTATATAATGTTAATATTGAAGAACAAAAATCATGCAAGTTACATATAAATATACAATTATATGAATTATAAAATCAACTTTCACAATTAATATCTAAATGGAATTTATATTTTTCATACAATTAATTTGGCTAATGTTCTATATAAGTAATTTCTAATACTTAAATATACATTTGAAAGGATGTATGAGGATTTTTAAAACTTAATAAATTTTCCAAAAAATATTTTAGTGTTAAAGAAACAGAGATTTTTCTGCAAAAATATTAATTTTACAGAAAAAAAACTGTCCTTTAACGAGAATTTGAATAAATATTTTTAAATTAAATATAAATGATTTAAGTTCATCTTAATTTACATAGCAATGATTTAAATAATTTTTTTAACGCGTAAATTGACAGAAAAATTCAATGAAGATCAAATAGAAACATCTCTAAAATATCGTATCTTAACATTTTTCTTAATCGAAATTATGTTTACTAAGAAACCTACGTTTCAAACCAATGGCATCTCCGTGGAAGACTTGAGACACAGATTGGTTTAGCTATTGTATCTACAATCTAAAATGAACTATCTCACCTACACAACAAGAGTCATTTTTGTAACCTATGAGATAGTTCCACTAGTAAATTACATAAAAATACTGCTTACATATCTAAATAAAGACATCAAGATAGATTCAAACGATACTATATATCACATCTGAAATGTTAGAACGATTTTACCATGGACCCTAATAATAGACCATGCATTGAAATCCTGAACATGTTTACACCATAAGGAAGAAATAACTTCTCACTATATCTAAGAGGATATTTTTCTGGTGGTGGGATAATACAAACAGAATATACATTCGAATGATTAAAAACAATATAAATAATTGTTTTGTGCAGCCGCGTACTGCATTTTATTACCCTGTCGCCTGAATGAACGGCTCGCGGCAATGTTTTAGTACACCGAGTATGACTGGATGGTCAATATGGTCATAATGAAGATTCGTTTCTCATTCAAATATTAGTGTAAGCTTCATAGCTATTAATTGAAACCTTGAAACGATCTAATTAAGTCCTACTCGGGATACTGTTTTTACACGTTTCATCATAAACTTAAACTGCCAAAGTTTTCAGTGTTGATTCATAACGATCATACTGTTCGTACGTGAGTATGACGTATGATAAATGATCGCAAGTACTTAGGTACTTAGTACGAGCACCTACTTAGACTAGCAATTTTATATGCCTTGAGATTCCTGTTTTTTCTTTGGATACAATAACACGTACTCACAGAAAACAATGATAGTTCTCGTTAAATTTAAAACTTATAACGAAGTATTCATTATTCATACAATAATAAAGAATTATCAAATTGTATACATTTAAAATCTGTTACAATCACTTTAAAAATGGTTGAAGCAAATTTTTGACTAGAAATTGTTTCGGAATCGCAGTATTATGAGGCAACTAAAACACCTATACCAATATAATAAAAAAAAATGTTCCTTTACCTATACCGTTAATCAGACTTAAAAATAGAAATAAAAAACGAAATGCATGTACGTAATGGAGGCATAACTTTTATGAAAATTCCAATAAGGACTATATTTCTGCATGAAACGGAACTGCAATTGAACCTTTTTTACGTTTTTTTTTAAAGCAAAGGTTGAATATTACAGTCGTTTTATATGATTTCGTTCCGATTTAATATCTGTGAGGTCTGAAATACCTGCGTGTTTAATATTCATGCGACCTACATAACACGCGGACCACGATCGCCCGCCGCTTGATCCGACCCAGTTTACAAACAAACCGACTATATCGCAACCTGTATATGACACACATAGTCTTCATAGACAATGGAAGAAAAAAATATATCTACACATACATTGGCTGTATAAATTCGATCAAAGAAAGCAGATAAATAAAAAAAAAATACGAGGAAGTTTTCTAAATTTAAAACACAAAATATTGAGCAATAAAGTACCTACATCATACATTACATGCTCAAGAATCTAGTTCATATAGTTACACTATAGATTTATCTAATTACTCTAAACAAGTATACGTAACTAATCTAAGGAAAAATTCACATTAGGTGTATAAAAGATCTGTTGAAAAAACTTGGTTATCGTATAAGTATAGATATAAACGTCTCTAAAAACACCTAAAACATTCATTAAATATTCTAAATAGGGTTGGTTTGGTCTCGAGATTCTGGGACACTAGTACACTACAACAATAAGATTTCAACAATATTTTACAAAATATACAAAATGGACGCGTTCAATGTTTTTTTTTTTAAACAGAGCAGCGACACAATGCACGTCAGACATACTTAATGATATTTGCGCAATGTTAATAATTACCTTGACTGAAGGTTACTTATAGGCATACTCATAAAATATTTAGCATTCTGCTTAAATATTACGCCTGAAAAGAAACGCTTTAACTGAAAGACAAATTTATTTTTAATTTTCGGCCTTTAATAAAAAATATTTGAAAATACTGACCGTTAACAATTTTTTTTTCTAAATTTGAATCTTTACATTTATAATCCGTATAAAAAACATCGAACGCGTTCAAAATTAGAACCTAATAGTATGGCATTGTATAAAATCTTTAAGCGATATTTAAATGATGTAATTTTTATAAAATGGAAAGTTTATAAACATAAAATGAGAGAGCGTTTTCTGAGATTCTTAATGGCAGTCATTCTGTGTTTAGTTCAGGGAAGAGATGTCTGAGTATCGCCAGGTAGTGGACTGAGGCGGCCAGGGCGACGAACACGTGCCATATGGCGTGAGCGAATGGTATGCGACCGTCGCTCTTGAAGAAGAAAACACCTATCAAATATAACAAACCTCCCATCTTGAGGTCGTGCATCGCCGGGAACTGATGCTGGAACAGAAATAATACATAAAATAGACTTTTTATATAATAAATTACACGTATTACTATAAAATAATATACTTTTAATTCATTAAACTTAAAATATTTATCATGTTTATCTGTGTGCGATCATACTTGCGACCTTTAATTAACTTCAACCTATTTTCATTCTCTCTTAAAAGCTATGTTTTTAATTTATAATTTTTAACTTAATAGAGGTTTCTTCCGTCAGGGCTGAGCAAAAGACTTTATTAAAACACCACTCCAGTAGGTAACCTTTAGATAGCGTGCCTATAAGATATTTAAATAGAAGTTTGTATTATAGCGAGGCCGTTAAAAAAATATTAAAACCTACATTAATAATTTGTCAAAATTGTATTGAATTATAAATAATTTTATTTTAAATTTTCAAAAAAATTATGATGAATTCTATGCGAGTACATATTTAAAAGTTGTATCAATTTCAACGCTCAATAAAACATTTGTGAAATAATTTTTTTTTTCTTCAATTAATGTCTGTACTAGGACGACAAAAAAACTTCTTTATATTTCTAGAAGATTTGACAATTAATATACATATTTTAATCTAGACAAATTTGTTTTAAAAGACATCATTCGTACTAAAATATAAACAACAAAAATGGCTTCTTTATATAACATAGCATTCAATCTATTTCGGTAACAGTAAACGAGATGACCTTAAGCCCATCCAATAGGTTATAATAGGTACGCATGATAAAAAGACAATTGTTCGCTGTCAAAGGGATTCCAAATAAATTGAGAATAACATTTTAGTGATTATTTTATACTAGCTTTCCTCCCGCAGCTTCGCCCGCGTGGAGTTCGGTTATATCGCGTTTCCAAGGGAACCTTTCAAAAGTCTGGGATAATATCCTATGTTCTTTCTCAAGGTCAACTCTATACATCTGTACCAAATTTCATTTTTTTTTATTATTTTTTTTTTTTATGGGAAAAGGGGCAACTGAGCAGACGGCCTACTTGATGGTAGGTAGTTACCGTCGCCCATGGACATCCGCAACTAGATTTGCGGATGTGTTGCCGCCCTTGATTGGGGAAAAGGAGGAGGAAAAGGTGGGAAAGGGAGGGAAAGGAAAGGTTGGGAAAAGGGAAAGGGCAACCGGCTCTCTCACTCACCGGACGAAACGCAGCCTTTAAAGACTACTTTACGCCGATTTTCTGCGAGAGGGTGGTACTTCCCCGGTCGAGCCAGCCCATGTTCGAGCTGTAGTAAATTGACTACAGCTAGGCTCTACCACCTCTAAAATCAGTTCAGTGGTTTAGGCGTGACAGCGTAACAGACAGACAGAGTTACTTTCGCATTTATAATATTAGTAGTGATGCATTCAAATTATTTTATTAAAAAAGGTACATTAAAAAATTCCAATTTTTAAAAATACTTCCATTATTTTGACTACCTATCGCATGTCGCGTTACCTTAACTAAATGAACATTGACTAAAACACGCAACCAAGGCCAACGAGATCAATGGACATCAACTATGAGCGTCAATTTACATTCTCACCTGTTCTTGCAACGCTAAGCCCTATTTACGATGTAAAATTTTAATCAGATTTTTAAGTTAATATCACAATATTAAGTGTAAGCTAATATTCTTTGTTTTGTAAGGCATAGATCAATTGAATTATTATATTTAGTGCGTATTTCAGACTCCAAAGATCAGGTAAAATTTTAGATATTGTCATGTGAAAGTTACAAAACTATATAGGTATGTAATGCCTTACATTTAATAATTTCCCGAAAATTTTCATGTAAATTCCAATATTAGAAAAATATAAAAAAAATACTAAAACAAATCATATATTTTCGCAAAAGAAAAAAAATCACACACGTATATATATGTTTTATCATTTATCCAACAAATAAAAAAATTGACATTGTCAAAGTATTCAACGATTCCAGTGCGAATGAAGCCTTAGCTTATATAAAAAAAAATTATCATCATTTATAAGGCTCTGGTTAGAAACAGTATTATCATAGTAGTCTACGTATATTAATATTAGATGCGAACCCCGTTTAATCCATTACTGAGTATTGCGTGTATTTATATATATGTAATCTTCATATAAAAAATAATCCACCTAACAAATGTACATATATATCGAGAAATAATCCCGGGCTTTACTCACTTTTAGGGGATTATATTATATTTTTTTATGAAATGCAAAATATTAAAGTACAAATAAAGATGTTTACAATAAATCTACATATAGTATTGAAAAAAAATTGTTATATAGCATAAATAAATAGATATTTAACGCCGTCAAATAAGTTTAAGTGTTCTTTTTGTGAGACTTTGATACACTAACAAGCCGGTCTGTTTAGCAGAGGTAAAGTGAGGAATAATTAAGTGCTACTTGTGTGCCATCTACTGCATAGCGAATACACTCGAAACGAATGTACTATGAATGTAGGAGAATCTTACATTTTGAATTTAAAGTTTATAATTTCAATTAAAATAATCTGACCATATGTTTCATATATTTTTAGTTAACTCAGTGTATATATGTATATAGATAAACTATTTCCACGTTCGTAATATTAGACTGAACAAAGGTTAAGGCCAGTGCGGTATATTTAACTTAGAATAATCCAAGCAACACCTTACACCTGTTTGAGTTTAAAATTTATAAAAACAAAAACATTCTCAAAGATATATATAGCAACAAATTGAATAAGTACCTCCATCTCAGTTGTATTGCCCTGGGAAATCTACGGCATAATATATTACAACTGTAAGAACGTGTTCGGTATAAATATTAAAATAATACATTTGTGTTACTTAATATAATTTATTGTGCTTTATCTAAATTTCAAAGTACTTTTTTATCATTAGTTTAGGAATTAGTTTGTGTGTATTTATTTAGAAGCAGTTTAATAAGAAATAAGTACCTTAATTAAAGCGTCGATCGTGTGTCGACATAAGGTCAACCATATAAGCCTTTGAGCCAATCGTTAATGTTTAATCTGGCTCGAACCGATCGCGCCCACTACCGATATCCGGTAAGCCCTAGCATCATTTATATTCAAATTAAGCTAATACTGATGTTGTTTACGTAAACACAGTGAGAATTGAGATGATCAAAGAAAGTGATGTTATCAATTTAAAAACTTGATTTCTTTGAAACTAGGGCAAACAAACTGATGGTTTTAAAGATTATCAAGTGCTAGCTGAAGCCACTTTTTACGACAATCTTTCAAAGAACATTTATTTCTATTCTTGAGCTAAAATCACTTTTAAATTTTGTCATTGTCTTCTAGTCTTCAACAATATCTCAATACAGGTTTGAATTGACAAATTAATAAATAAATTACCGGTCGCTTTGCGGTTTTAAATTGTATTAATTTTGTTTTTTGGTTTCAGTACAATTATGTAAAGCATACTAAGGGTTCATTTCTAGAATGGGACAAAGTATTTTAATACCAACAAGATATATGACAATGCTATATTAAAAATGATATTTATTCCACCGTAATAAAGTTGTTTTTACCAAAATAATAATCAAAAGTGATATAAACAGCTGAGCGAGTATGCTGTATATTATTCATATGATCGCCCTCATAATTGTAAAGTGGTGACAGTTATATATAGAGCTGTCAACTGTTGTCGATAACAAATGCACCATAATGTTATCAAACTATCTTTTAAAAGAATATTAAAAATTTTACTAAACAATATTAATAAATGCATAGTTTTTTTTGTTTTGGTAACGTAAATCTCGAAGTTTTGTCTAAATAAATATGTATTATCTATAACTTTTAAGATATTTATATAAGTTGTACAAAAAAATTATATAAATGAATACTACTAGGGCTAATCCGCAGACAAACTATAGTTAAACTGACTATGTTTTTTAACTCTAAATATAACTGCTAATATCTGTAACAAGTTCAGACATGTGGATATATTAATAAACGCTCACTAGCCATTGTCCATTACACTAGTGAAGAAACAATAAAATTGAATTATATTTAAAATATTAATTCTCCATACTAATAATATAGATATAGCGATGCGCTAGTTATTTTTACTGATAAGCATTCACCGTATAAGCTGAGTGACTTTCAAAGGTTAATAAGATCAAGTAATGGACCAATTACTTCAGGGAACGATAAAAATAGTTTTATCATGATTAGAACGATCCCATTCATAGAATAAAGAATAGTGGGCACGATACTGACGTCGCATGACCTATAGAGAAAAAAGTATTTTTACTATACAAACTGCTAACTAAAAAATAACTGAAGAAGCCAAGATTATTTACACGTGATCACGCTTGCTAAAAAGCAGCCGAAATGTCGGGAGTAAGTAGTTTTTTTACAAAAATAAAGCCACGTAGTATTATCCGAAAAATATTAGTTTCATTTAAATGAATAAAACTCGCTTAAACCTTTGATCTCATAAGTCATAACCCACGATTATATTCATTAGGAACGTTTAGTCTTATTTGTTAACGAGCTAAGTTAAAGCATGCATTAGGTTTAAAACGGTACATACATTTGAAGTGACAATAATCACAGCTGGCCCGAGTCCCATGACCAAGTACAGTAGCAGCTCCAACATCTTGTACCGCTCGTGGAAGATCTGCTGATAGGTGATCCCCAGCACAGCTAACAGCCAGATAGCCCATCTTAATTCACGCAGCATCCAACAAGACAGCGTCCCCACAGTCAGCCAGGGGAAGTAGGAGCTGGCTATGAATATGTATATCATGGCTCGATCACAGCGGTGGAGGAAATGTTTCATCTTCCTGAAATGTTTTGCTACTTTAATTAAATCACAGGAGTTAAATAAAATGAGCTTAGTAGTAAACTAGCGTCTTTTAGTTTATATTGTTGTTTGTAATCCCACGTTTCAAACGCTATAGTTGTGTTTACAGTAAAATGAGACTATAATCGTCTTCTATCCTGCCATTGACAGTACTATGCTATCTATTTTCTATCATATCTTATAACGCAGTTGTGTTTTTGATACGCAATTAAAATAGTAACTTTTTTCTTATTCTTTATACAAATAAAATGGACTGTACCTTTAATTTTATTCATCGAAAATTATAAAGATAGAGTTATGAAAATTCTAGACAGTTCTTTAATACCCATCCAATATTACGTGACTGAACAGTGTTCGTTGCTATAGTACTTAACAGCAAATAGTTTCAATAGTTCTTCATCCACACAGTGACCCAAATATAGAAAATAATAGGGCGCTTTATTCAGTTGACACTATGGAGAGTGTTGTTCATATATACAGGCTAGAATGCGTCACTATGTCACCACAGACCTACAAATTGTATTGCGACAACAATACATTAGTCGTATTACAAGAAAATTGAGTAATATAATCCCTCTACTTTATTCATTATCTTGAAGTGTTATTGGGTGTATTGTATCAGATAGAGGATTCCGTAATGATATGAAATATTTAACCTTAATATTATTTATCTACTGTATTTCGTAATAAACTTTTTAACCAAAGAATAATTGAGGAGACAAAATGGAAGTTTTATAATGAGATCATTGTTAACAGAGTATCGGTTCCTTAATCCGATCACAATAAAGAGAAATTAAGTATAATAACAGTTTCTAGTGGTCAACGCAATGATTGTGACTTTTAAACTATATAAGTGGTTCCTTAAGTATATTTTGGATAAAAAGACCTGGATCTTGGCATGACATTAAAATGTTTTTAGACTTCAGAGCGATGTCACGTCACTATAAAAGGCAGAAAATCTTTGAGATTTGTATCTCCGTTGTTAAAAACAACGATGAAATGTTAAATCTGGTTGTGACAAGAGGCGAACTTGTGTTCAAATAGGACTCAATGCATTGGCTCAAACCAGGTCTAAGAATTCAGAGTTTATGTATCTGTCTAATGAGAAATTTATAAACCATACCTACTTATTATGAAACGAAAGAAATATTTTAAATAGATTATGTAAAAAAGAGTTCTACTGTATTTGGAAAGGAGTACGCTTCAATAGAAGAAAGTCTTCTAGAAGTTATGACGGTAAAATATAGTGACAAGAATAGGGTGGTAATTTGACAGCACGGGTCAAGTTGCGGTGTACAGTAAAGAGGAGCCTTTAAACCCGTAACATAATCTCTCTTCAGTACAAATTAACAGTCTGTTACCAAAATATAATAAAGAATATAAAACCTACGCGGCCAGGCGCTCGATTCGTAGTGTAACAGTTTTGTACGATGTTTACTGGTCTGACCACTTACCTTTAATTGTCGAGTGTGATTTTCACCTAATAACACCTAAGTTGATATGTCCTAAATTATTGGTTAATCAAGTCATATGGGGGGAAAGAAACTCAGAACAGATCAGTAAATATTCGAGAATTTGTCAACATAAACTAAGTAAAATTATTTTACCCGAACATTTTTACAAATGCGGTGATACTTTTTGTAGTGAAATAAATCATAAATATGTTTTAAACCAAATGTATAAAGATGTTGTTCAAATACTTCGAGAGGCGGCTGTGAACTCCTATGTAGGGCCTACTTTCCGAAAACATAGACCCGTGCCGGGGTGGAACAAACACGTCAGTTTCGCTCACAGGACGGCGCGGTTATGTTACCAAAATTGGTTAAAAACAGGTAAGCAGATGAAGGGATCAGTTTATAACGACATGAGGGAAAGTAGACGAATTTTTAAATCGAAATTAAAGTTATGTCAGGATAATCAAAATCAAATAAAATTAGATATAATAGCGCGTCATCACGCTGGTAAAAATTTTAGTAAATTCTGGAAAACAACAAATAAATTAAACCCAATATCAAATAGCCGTCCTGTAAGCGTTGCTGGCTCGCACGAACCCCGAGATATAGCAAACATCTTTAAACGACATTTCAAGGCTGAGCTACCGAGCGGCACTGGTGTTCGGATGCTGAACACTGAGCAACCAAAGTTAATGGCCGTTAGATTTTCTGCTAACGATATAAGCAAAGTATTAAGTCGAATGGTGCGTAGTAAGTCGCCTGGTCACGATGGGCTGAGTGTTGAGCATCTGAAGTATGCTGGAGCTGAATTGACGAGAGTTCTCGCTATGTTTTTTAATTTATGTCTGAGCCACAGTTACCTGCCGGAGGATCTTATGCACACTGTAGTGGTACCAATATTGAAAAATAAAACAGGGAATGTATCTGATGTTGCCAATTATAGACCGATCTCACTAGCCACGGTCATAGCTAAAGTTTTGGACAGGCTGCTTGATGGACATTTGGAGAGGCATATTAAACTTCACGATTCTCAATTTGGCTTTAGACCCGGTCTTTCTACAGAGAGCGCCATCTTTTGCCTCAAGCAGACTGTACAGTACTATACAGCTAGAAAAACTCCTGTATATGCCTGTTTTTTGGATCTATCTAGGGCTTTTGATACTATAGACTATGATATACTATGGAATAAACTCAGAAAGGAGACAGATGTACCCTTCGAAGTTACCTCTGTTTTGCAATATTGGTACCATAACCAATGTAATGTCGTGAAATGGGCTGGCGAGCACTCGGATATGTATGGGTTGGAGTGCGGTGTGAGACAAGGCGGCCTTACCTCGCCTCGCCTCTCTAACCTGTTCATTAATGGGCTGCTTGCAGAGCTGGGTAATAGCGGTATCGGTTGTCACGTGGGGGGCGTCTGCGTAAATAACATCAGTTACGCTGACGATATGGTATTGATGAGTCCCTCAATCGGCGCGTTACGAAAATTATTAAGCATATGTGAGAGGTATGCTTAAGCCCATGGACTGAGATACAACACGAATAAAAGTGAACTCCTGGTGTTTAAAGCTGGTAAGAAAGTTTATGCTAATGTTCCAACTTTATATCTTGGTGGCATTGCTTTAAGACGAGTTGAACAGTTCAAGTATCTGGGTCACTGGGTTTCAGACAGCCTCAGCGATGACGATGATTTGGAGCGAGAGCGCAGGGCGCTGGCCGTGCGCTGTAACATGCTGGCCCGAAGGTTTGCACGGTGTACTGAGAGTGTAAAATTAACTTTGTTCAAGGCATATTGCCAATCCTTTTACACCTGCAGCCTTTGGGTTAAGTATACGCAGCGCGCGTACAGCGCTCTGCGAGTTCAGTACAACAATGCATTCAGAGTGCTGTTCGGATTGCCGTGCTACTGTAGCGCCTCCGAAATGTTTGCTGAGAGGCGTGTTGATAGCTTTTATGCTATTATTCGCAAGAGGAGTGCATCTGCGCTTCAGAGGTTGCGATCCAGTTCGAACAGCATTCTGTGTGCACTGGCTGGCCGCTGGGACTCTGAAATACTGCGCCACTGGGTACGGCTACACGCTGCCTAAAAATAGCGATTTTTGTCTTTTGTGTTTGTCTCTGTTTTGTTTTGTTTGTTTTTATTATTATTATTATTATTATCATTTGCTTTTACTAACATTAGTTATAAGGTTGACATGTATTACTAATATTTCAATATGGACTATGTCTGAGATAAAAAAAAAATATAAAAAAAAAAAAATGTAGCGATCGAATTTGCCAAGGAGACATATATTACATGAAACTCTAATGAAATAACTCGAAGTAAAATAACGAAATTGAATTTTGAAATAATAAAATTGGTTAATAAACTTTTAGTGATTTATACGTACAGTATATGTAGGCCTAAAATAAGATAAATGAAAAACCTTTCACGTACAATTTGTACAAATGAGATCATTCTTGTCCACTTCCCGCGGTCAGTGTCTGTAATTGAATATCAACTCAATTCGAATGTAACAAATTACATCCTGCGAGTTAGTTACGAGTACTATATAGAAGCCTTAGATGTGATTGCAATTTTAAGGCCTAAGTAACAGTACTTAAGCCAGACACTACTTGTGTAGGGATTCACTTTTCTTGGAATAACTCGAAATCTTCTTCTTCTACCTGGCAATTTCCCAGCTTTAGCCAGGGTCTGCCTTACATGTTGTGAATAGTTTTGGCTAATTGTTTTACGACGGGCCGTCTGCCTGACATCAACCCTCTTTTGGGAATCACCGTTAATCAGTGATGTCCTAATAATCTTAGAAAGTACATATGATTCGGAAAAATCACATTGGTACTTGCCCGGGCCAGGATCAAACCCGCGCTCTCGTGTATGAGAGGCGGGCCTTTTAACCACTAGGCCATCACTGACTCGAAATATTTCTACCTAACCTTTGTTCTTTAATACCATATGTAGAAGTTAAAATCGCATATGAGCAGGCTTCCATAAAAAGATTCTTAGTCTTGATGTCTCTCCAAAGAGACATTTTCAAATGTTAGGTGAACATAAAAGTACAATTACGGTCTAAACTCATGGGAACTACGTAATTGACTTGACAAAAATAACTTTATTTTGATATTTCTGTACGACGCAAATGTTTTAAAGATCTTATCTCAGATTGTGTCTTAAAACTTTCGTTGGCTGTTTTATTTACCTCATAATTTAGTTATCTATAATTTAATTTTAACATACACAAAATAAACAGAGGTTTCAACTGTATTTTGACTCAATTTTTTGATTAATTCTATGCAGAGAGTAATGAAGATTTAGTTAATAAAAAAAAACAAAAATATATTTGAGAAAATAAGATGTTTATATTAAAATAAAAGCATTATGTAGTTTATGTAACGAAATATAACAGTTTTATCTACCTATAAATATACGTAAAAGACATATAATGTTTCTTAGTCTAACCAACCGCAGAGCTTGGTAATAAAGCAATATATTGATACAAAATGTATTGTTATCATCGGAGTCTTTAAAATATTTATTGTACGAGTTTAAAAGAAAGTATTAGCCCCAAAGGATTCCAATAAGTCTAGGGAATTACTTTCTATATACATTTTGCATGCTAATGTTATATAAGTGAAAGTAATTACATTATATAGTTTAACACGTCCGCTAATTATAATGCCGGAAAATGCTACTTAGTAAGCAAAAAAAGTCCTAAAGGCTTGCATAGTCAACTCTAAGGCAATAATTTTATTCCACGTCCCTTAATCATTACAAGTTGTTCTAATTCTATGTAAAAGGTAATTATAGTCATATTTTATTTTAATACACCATTTCGAATCGACGGAAACTAAAAAAAAATTATAGACCTATAATTTCCGAACAGTTAATTACTAAGCGGAAGTGTATATTGTAGACGGAACAAGGTCCGGAATATAATGCCACATATTATATTATTATTATAGTTACATTTAAAGTATCGTTACTGGCTGTTTCACGCATGGGTATAAAAAATGCATAAAGCTATATTCACTCTAGCAATTCTGAACGGTTTTTAAGACTGCAATATTTATTTAGTATATGTATATATATGATCACATGACGAAGTAATTATAAAGATAACGTTTAAGTGTCTCTTTAGGTATCATAACGTGTGCAGTGCGTGTACCACTCGAAACTACCCAATATAGCGATATGAGTATTTTGCTTATATTTGTAAATAAAATATTATAAATACAATTTATTTTAAAGTAGTATCTTAAGCTATCGTAGGTAGTTTTCCGTCCCCACTCTAGCCCAATCATTAGTAATTTAGGAAAAACTTTACGAAACACCAGTTTTTGTTAATGTAATTTTATACCTAAGAATATAAATTGCATCTTGTTTTGACGTGTTTCTCTAGTTTTGAATGACATATTTTTTGTATCATACAATTTAAAAAACACACCAGTACTAGCTAAAGTATTATTAGATTTTTTTAGAAGGAAATTGTCGCGACCGGATCTCGTCAAATCTTTGAAGATGCATCTGTTTAAACTCCGATTTAACCGGTATAAAATATTTTATATCTTTCGATCAAAGTCAAAAAATTACCTTTTATATCTTAAAAATATTAAGACTGTTATGAATTTCTATTATTTGGGTTAACGTGATTTTTTAAACTTTGACGTCTCTACAAGTGTACCATAGAAAAGCTTTTGTGCTACATTTCGAGTACTGCTCGAATAGCGTTCTGACCCGACTATTACGTCCAATGCAAAGTTCTTTTGTTTTCTTCTTTCATTTTTACATTTATGTAAATTATGTAAGTAATACATTTTCTTAATAATTGCAATAGCAAGATGATTAACATTAATTTAATTTAATCTACTAGTGAAGCGAATGTATTATAATGTGTAATAAGAACGTTTCTTTACACGTTTTTAATTTTAAAAAAATCAATTAATCGACCAATTTATAGTTATCAAATATTTTACACGTACAGTTTCTATATCGGAAACTCTTTTTCAATAATTGTAATTAAATATAATGAAGTTTATTGATTTAAAAAAGCAATATTTGCAAACCCATCTCAGCTCTGGAAAGAAATATCATACAAACATTTTGTTATGGTCACCATTAGTAAAATACATATATGTATAATTGTAATTAAAACATAATAGGAGGAAACTGTTACTTTGGTTAAATTTAAGAAATCATTATAAACAGTTGAATCATAAGGAGTAATTAAGGTTACTTTCTAACCGATTTCAAAAGAAAGGAAATTCACAATGTTTGACACTCTAATTAATTATCTTTTAATTAAAAGCCAACTTTGATTTTTTTTAATCGGAAGGGCATTGTCCTACTATTATACGTTAATTCCACATTTATAAAGTATTTGATTAAGATATCTCTTAAAAATTTAATGAGATCTTTTAAAGATAATTTCGCTAATCTCAAAGGTTTTAATATTAAGAAGTCGAAATCAACACAAGTTCTTAACAAGATATATTATAAAATCCAAGCCAATATTTCCTATATTATTATATGTATGCTCTTAATGGGAGATTTGTTGCAAATCTTGCCTTGATTATGGGTTTGAACTACCCATAACACTGTCTAAGAAAAATATATCTATACTTTTTTAAGATTAGACAGAAAGTGTAAGAAGTCTTACAATGCATACTGAATATAATTAAACTTTAAGGTTTTACTTTTTAAAGCCTAATGACGCAATTCCTTAATATGGATTCAGTTCCATCTGTGTATAATTTGTAGTGTGGATTCCATGTGGTATAACTACGTACCAGTCTGCTTCGTATTGGTCTGACAACATTATTGTTGGAGATGTATTAATATAATTAATAATAATAGATCTTAAAATTTTGATTCTGAGTTTAATTATGTTAACCATATGAGATATTAAAATTAATTGGCGATCGCTGATGTTGCTAAACTTGTTGTACAACTAGCTTTCCGCCCGCAGCTTCGCCCGCGTGGAGTTCGGTTTTATCGCGTTTCCAAGAGGACCTTTCAAAAGTCTGGGATAAAAACTATCCTATGTTCTTTCTAAAGGTCTACTCTATCTCTGTACCAAATTTTATTAAAATCAGTTCAGTGGTTTAGGCGTGAAAGCGTAACAGACAGAAAGAGTTACTTTCGCATTTATAATATTAGTAGGGATTTCAAATCATTGGTATGTTATCGTAACGAATAGTCTCTGAAACATCATGTCCAGTGGTTTTGAAGAGATTATGAAAAAACTAAATTAATAGACGACTTCAAGAACTGTTTATGGAGTGTAATAAATTCGAAATATTTATACTACTCATAACAACTTTAAAAATTATCATTTATAGATAAGAAGTATCGTTATAATCGTTAAAATAATACTTTCATATTTTGTACGTATATTTTGTGTGTAAAACTGTAAAAATCATTAGACATTGATTTTTGATGATTTTGTATTGTTTCGAAAGGTATGATTGATCATGTTTAAAGATATTTTTATACATATTCCTATTGCGTCACATGGCTACAGCGGACTCGAACCTTTTTTTTCAATTTTCTACTTCAACTAACTTTCGACAAACTCATTTTAAGCAGTGAACAAAATACAGATTATTAAAAAAAATGTTTTTTTTTTACAAAAATCCTTCTGCGTATTTGAAAAATTACGTGATATTATTGTTATGATTGGATTACATTAAACTAACTTTTGGCGGGAACTATGTCAATAACACGAATGGAGAATTGTGGAGAAACTTGAATGAAAAATACAGTAACATTAGCATTCCTTACATTTTAGTCAGTCTTGAAAAATATTGATCAACTCAGTAACAACCTTATTACCTCTTAAAAATATGTTAAAACTTTTTAAGAATATTAGAGATATATCCAACTCACGTTTCGGATTTGCAGCAGCATACTGAATGAAATGTGGTCGAGACAGCAAACAGCAAACACAGAGCCAGGCCGTAGACCACAGCGGCAATGGCCTGAGGGGCGTTCACAGAGCGAGTCAACAGCTCCCGAGCACCAAATGAGGCTGGAGCCACGCACAGGGCATGGGTACACACATTGGCTAGGTTTTCCACCTGTATGAACAATATTATTTCATATGTTACACCCATAATAATACTTTGTCTAAATCTTAGCATTGATTAAATTTTTTTGTATAAATAACTCTGTAATTTTGAAATAATTATGTAGAATATATGTACTGAATATAATTCTAATGTATTTAATATTTTATGTTGATGATAATAAATCTTATTTTTTTATATTTTTGTGCATGAATTATATTATAATGCACATTTATTTTTGAATAAATTATATAAAAATAAGATACAAAAGAAATGGACGGTTTGTTAAATTTTAATATTATTATGATATAATTATGATATAAAATTTTAACTGTTGGAAGAATAATATAAATCAGGAAAAACAAATATTTTCACAATTATTGTATTATTATACTTAAATGCTGTGTATTCCTACTGTATTCCTTAACTTTTAGTTTTAGTCAGTTTTGAGGTCATAGTCATATAAATATTGACAATAAATGGAGTTTTAAATACTACTTCATAGAAAAGGAATTATATCTCGAGATTTCAATCTACATTTCTGAGCCATAAAAAAATAAATATTAATTTTTTTTGTGAAATATTGAAGTAAAAATATTTAAAATTTTGAAACAAAGCATAATCTACATTTTTTAAACAAAGAATTACTTTATTATACTATAATATATATTGTTATAACTAAAAATAGATAACAGTCATCCCCCAAGCTAGAATGTACTTTGCACTCTTTATAAAACTAAACGGTTACGTTTTGTTAACTATATATTATATAATTATTGAAAGTAACAAAACAAATAACATGTTTGTTTAGACCTCGTGAGTTAATAACTTACCCTGGTAGGAACATAAGCTTTGTTTGATGTAGCCCGCTCGTTCATCCACTTTATAGATTTTAGCTTGTCCCACGGAAAATCACAGTGAAAAAAAATCTTACTCTCATTAAACTTTGATTTAAATTTCATGATTATCACAGAAAATAAGCTTACAACATCGCCCATCGTGTGTGTTTTGTTGTTTGCAAGTTGGAAGTTAACTGGTCATGAGAACTGTGACGTTAAGATTAATCCTATAATGATATTAGCACTCATATTCGTAATTTAATTTACATTTTCTTAAAGAGTTATAGACTTTCGATAAGTCTTTATTTTATACAGTCCCAGCTCCACTCCTGACAAGCGACGATTGACGATTGAGACTTGTCGCTTTCTTGACAGTAGCGAATGATAACAGACAGCAACACTCGCTTTTTACGTTTCGTTGTAACTGATGAAATACCTGATGCTCTTATTAAATATTACTTAACAAAATATTTGCATTTTCTTTTCAAGTGCGTGGGTAAGGTTTTAGTTCAATATTTTTAAGTTGATTTATGAATAGTGCATGAAATCTTTTATCTTAGGAAATTTTTGTTCGAAAAAAATTATTCATTTTAAAATAAACAATTTAAAGGTAGTGTATGAAACTTAACCCTTTTGAATGTTAGCAACAAATTATGAAGTAAAAATAAATAAAGTATTGTTATATTATTAGAAAAAAAAACTATAACATTTTAATTATGCCAGGCTACAGAGCTTCAGCTAATTAAATGCATCAAAAGTTACATATAAGATTTGAAAATCATTTAACTTAATGGTTTGTGTATATAAGAATCAGTAACGAAAGCCACAGACTTTTATTAGGAAGTATATAAAAAATTAAAAAGGAGAACAAAGTCCCCGTATGCATTTTGGTTTAGAGTATATAATTTCAAAGTGTAATACCCTTTTTCAAATACATATCAACTAGATTGATAAGTTACTTAATATCGAAATTCCATGAACTTAGAGAAATTTAGAAAAGATTGACTGCAACCAAACATATCTTGGAAATATAAAAGGAAGCACAATAAATTAAAATAAAAAAAACACAAAATTATTTATTACTTGACTTTACATAATCATAAAATAAATTACTTATATTTAATGAACAATTTTATTCTATAAAAAAACATTGGCTTTTAAATTACAGTTTGTCTATTAACCTGAAAATAAATTCATTAAAAATAATATTGGTGTAGAGGTAGCCAGTAACATGGGAGTTTCAAGACTCTATTGGTGACACCGTAAAAGCCGCAGGGCTAACAGCATTATACATTACAAAAAAAGGGAGTTTCAATAGGAAACTGAATTTGTCATATATCCTGATTAATATACAAAGATAACATTCATTTCATAAATATAACTAAACATAAACAATGTTTAAAGTTTAAAAATAACTTTCAAATAAATGTAACAGTCTTTTTATTTCTGCTATTCTCGCAGCTTGAGCTTGTACCGGAACCATAGCTTGGGATACCTCTTCACCCTTAGCGAGTATTGTATACATGCTTTTTATATTATTGTCCATAGCATCACATGTTTTACCAACAGCATCTCTATAGACTTCCATATTTTCTGCTGTTAATGATGAATTAGAATGCAGAATGCTGGATAAGTTCTCAATTAAATTATCAACTGATTGTGCTATCTTTTGAGCTTCATATTCGAGATCATTTAATACTGTTATGTCTATTTGGCCTATCTGAGGAGCTAATATTTGTCTATAGAGCTTCCCAGATGGAGTACTAGACCTTGATGCACTGGAACTACCAAATATAGGAGTTTCTCCTTTCTTTGTGATTGGACTTGATAATTTTATTCTTAATTCTAAATCATCTGCAACATAGTGGGTCATATCTCCTTCATAACTGACTAGTCCATCACTATCCAAAGGAAGCTTTTCTTGCTTCCTGTTACCTGTTGGAAAATCATAAGGTCTGGATGGGCCAGGTTCCTTTAATTCTTCCTGACTAGTCTGACCACCATCAGAATGAAAAGATATCTCACTGTATGATGCAGTCATTCTAGAAGGTACTTGTTCATCCATATCTGCATCCTTATTAACAAGAGCTTCATTGAGCGTTTTAGTTTCAAAAGAGGATGAGGAATCTTGATTATCACTCATTTTAGTTACTGATATATGATTCAGAATTCCAAAGGAAGGGATAATCGTATAAAAGACACAATTAATATTTTAATCAATTGTTATATACATTTTTTTTGTGTGATACAGGGTTTAAATTTCTTTTTTTACTGGAGAAACGCTGAAACTTACAACTATACAAATATTTATTATTTTTAAGTCGTGACTTTTGTGTTGTGACCGTCATAAACATAAAACAGCCATGAATTGTCAAAATGTTAAATGTCAAACGGCTAAAAGCTCAGGTACAATTGCCCATTAGTAAAGTATGAACAATAAAAATTATTTTTATTTTTTAACATGTTATTTATTTTATTGCTTAAAAAAGTGAATGTTATTATTTAAAATTTCATAAAAAGTTTTTACATACGAGTATCGGATCATTGTATAAAAATGTCAAATTTGCGGGAATTTTTGACACTTGTCAATAAAAACATCTTAAACGTGAATTCAACTTGAAATAGTTCGAAATGGACGGGTTAAGATTGATTAGTTAAGTGTTTAGCAAAAATTTTAGTTTAGGGAAGGTAAGCAATGTCTAAATGTTAATTTGATGCATAAGTTTACTATCTTTCTATTCATTGTAAGTGTAGGATCCTCGTGAACATCCGTTTAACATGGCGCTCTCTAACGACATGTGCGGAAGATAACGCCTGTCCTTTGTCGTCTTACATTCTATTTCAATAGTCCATAGTGGCTGATATTTCATTTCTGAAGTCTTTATAAAGTATTCGAACTGTTACATAATACGAATTTGGGTTTTAATGTAACATTACGACATAATTCGCGATCTTTGCAATGGTGAAAACCCGACGTAGCAACGGTGAGAATGGGGAGGTTGACGAAGGAAATTATTCAATAAACGATGTTGGAAGCATCTCTGATGAGAAGGTGATATCTCCATAATTAACCCATGCTCTTCTTTTTGGAAACGCACTCGCTTTATGGAATGTTTCTTTGTATGCCATTTCCTGTCCCCAATTCAATATGTAGTAATTTGAAAGTGCATGTACTTGCATGTGTTTCATATCAATATTAGCTCAGTGAATGTTCAATACTTTGAAGCATATTATTTATTATGTTGTTTTAATTGAAAATAAATAATAAATAGGGAACTGTGAGTTAAAACTTTCCTTTGTTAAAGAGTTGTATTATTTGCTTGCCTGAATACATTGTGATGAAAACTAAGAATGTTATTGTGTGGTCATGTGAAATAGTAGACAAGCTCATAAATTTAGTAGTGGCTTTAGTTATTAAATTTGATTTGGTTTACTATTAGCTTCTTATTGGTTTGCCTTTAATGGGTAATTATAGTTATGAAATATTCTAATGATTTTTAATCATTCATGAAACTAGAGCACTAAAATGATTTCTTGTTTTAAATAACAGGCATCAAATTGGTCCCAACGAGAGTTAAGAAGTAGTCAATATAAAGTTGCAAGAAAAATCCAACGCTGGCCTACAAGATGTAAGTGTCATATTAAATATGTACTAGAATCTGTAAACATATGTTAATTATTTAATAATTGCAATGCTTATTTTAAAGACAGCCGCAGTAGACTTCGTGCTATAAAAATGCCGAGAATTATGTTTCCCGAAAGTGATACTGAACCTGAAAAATATTCAAGGAGGTAATGTTTTTCTTAAATTATTTTAGTTATTTATTTAAGTAGCTTGAAGCTTCTCTATGTTTTTAAGATCAAAATGTTTGTGACACTTGGTTTCATACATATTGCAATACTAATTAAAACAATATAAAATTCAATTAAACTCTTAGGAGATATTTCATATTTTATATTAAGAGTATTAACTGTATAGCAGTAATAAGTAAGTTGGTATATATAAATAAAGAGTCATTCAATCGACAAATATTTATTGATGTCTAGGTTAAATGTGGTTTTCTAGAACTGATATTTTACTTATAACAGATTTTAAATCTAGTTTATTTGTTAAGGCAGTTTACATAATCTAAACAATAGCTTTATGGATGCCATCTATTATAATTTTCAGGTCCCGGCAAGTTAGAGTTTTCTTTGCTGATGATAATGATGCTAGTAACAGGAGCATGAAGATTCGTCGTAATCGTGGACCCAGGAAGAACTATATGGAAGACAGTGAAGATAAGCCAATACAACAAAGTATATATATTTATGAAATTATTACCCATAAGTAAATCTTAATTTTGTTTTTTTTCCCTTCCTGTAATAATTAAGAAGAATAGTACTTATTAAGTTGAAACTTAATATAGTTTCCTTATAAATTAAAGATATTTCAGATGTGCGGCGTAGCTGCCGGAAGCGTAAGTTGCTACATCACAATTTTAACGAAAGCTGGATTACTAATGAGCTGAAAGTCAAAGGATATCCGGACTTGTATGGATTTAATGGAACTAGTTCCTCGGACGAATTCTCTTCTGGTGATGAAGCTAGGGAAACAAAGAAATTGGTAAATAATTTTATTTGTAAGCTTAATATAGTTAAGCGATTTATCAAGCTGTGAAAACTTGATTTAGTCTTTCTGGACTTGAAGAATTCTAGTATAATGGAAGGTGTTTGAGCTCCTGAATTGGCTTTTGTCCTTTTGTGTGTATTTGCATATCTTCATGTAAGGTATTTCCAAACAAGCTACCTTAAAACATTGAACTCCTATAGAGTAGTCATCAGGGTTCTACCAAAATTAAAAAAATATTGATTTTCCCATTGATTTGTTAATTCTGTGTGGGGTTCTGTAAAGTAAATCGTTTGGTCTTTGTTACGGAACAAATAACAGTATCTATTAAGTTTAGAAAGCCCTATGTAAGCTCTACAATGCGAATAACACATTGTTGAAAGCAATAATTCTTTGCCACACTGTTTTATAACATCCATCTTGAAGATTATCATTATAAAACTGTACTTGCGTCTTGGTATGTTACACGTGCACGATGTAGAATTATCTTTTAATGTTTTACGTAAAGAGCTACAACTGAAATCTTTCAAAAGTTGAGGGTAAAGGTTTTTTGTTCATAAGAAAGACTGATTTCACTGCAATGGATTTCCTTTCTGTATCAGAAGTCTATTGCCAGAGATTTTTACCCATAGATGGAATTTCTTTTTGATTCCAATCATTAAGAAATTAATAAGACCCAATTTTCCAACAATACTCTAGCTAATTATTTGTCTATGTTTAAGTTGATAAATTGATCATGTTTCATGTGTTACCAGACTCGTAGTCACCCGCCTACAAACACCGATGAAGACACTCAGCTGTCCAGGCAAAGAAGAACTTCAGCTAGATTCACTAATAATAAAAAGGTATATATTTAATTTCGAATACATAGTGCTTGACTGAATTCCACCCAATGGGAGGTATAAATGAAGACGTAAGTGGTAATTGCATTATCTCAGTGTTAGCTTATTCACCCTTTTCCTAAAGAGACCAAAATTGTAGCTTGAAAAAAAATCAGACACAGGCAAACTGTTCCAATCTCTTTGAAATGACTAGCCATTTCAAAAAGCAATTATATTTTATTTTTCAAAACTATCACACATATTACAAATAAATATAAAAGTAGTGTCAGGAGTGAATTTTAATATTTTTTCTTCTACAGGATGTATCAGATTCGGATTCAGATAATGAAAATAATCAAACGGTCATTGAAAAGAAGCAAGCGGAAACCAAGCAGGAGAGTGACAAGAGCGAGACAGAAGACAAACAGAAGACAGAGAGAGAAGATAAGGCTGAGGTCAAGGAAGAACAGGATAGCAACAGGTAGAACTATGTCATGATTATTGTTTAAAGACTGGTCTGAGTACATTTAAAAGAACATTTTAATAATTATAGTGCGTTTGATTTAAGCTGAGCTTTGCATTTGTGTGTGTGCACACGGATAGTATAGGTGTGATGTCAAATTTTTGAATGGCACATTCTTTTCTAGTTTTAAACCGGTTTATTCTGCTTTTACTCCGCCCCGCACCTTCCGCACTTCACCCTTTGTACTGGTAGCAATTTCAAATGTTGAAAACGCAATGTCAAGTGAAGAAAAATTTGTATTGTTTTTTCAATCTCTTTATTACTTAATTTTTTTTTCATAATATACATTATGAAAATAAGCCTTTTAAATGTTTTGCTTATTTTATTTTTAATCTCGAATAACTTTCGCACTTATGTTATGTATCTGTTTAAAATATAATAAAATTAAACTCTTAAAGGTTTTTTGTCTAACTCTACTGTTACTTTCAGTCACACAAATGCAAAGCTCAGCTTAAGTCTAATGGACTTTACCAAGGAAATTTTTTTTTAAGCAAAGTTAGTTGTATTTTTAATGAAAAATAAAAAAAGTAACTTTAATTTTTTTAGTGTTGCTAGAAATAAAATTTATTTGTAATAGAATGAGTTTATAAGAATATTAAGAATGTATTTTTTTTACTATTTATCTTTTACTGCAAAGTAATACAATATGGGTAGGTAAATCTCAATTATTGGCTCTAGTATTTCCACTTATAAACTTTTGCAATTTTTTTTTTTGGTTCTTCTTTTGAAAAACGATAGTATGTGAGCTGAGAACTTTTGAGAAAGTTGTTTAAATGTGCAGAGAGCTATATGACATAGAATATAGTGTTTGCAGCTATTATAAATGTTTTTTCTTATTAAAACCTTTTTATGTATCAGTAATCAAGGTCCGGCCCGTTCGACCAGGGGTAGAGGTCGGAGAGGTCAGAAGAAAGACAGCCAACAGGAAACAGGTGATTGAATAATCCCGACTAATATTATAAATGCGAAAGTAACTATATCTGTCTGTCTGTCTGTTACGATTTCACGCCTATCCACTGAACTGATTTTAATTAAATTTGGTACAGAGATAGAATTGACCTTGAGAAAGAACATGGGATAGTTTTTATCCCAGACTTGTGATTTGTGAAAGGTTCTCTTGGTAACGCGATATAACCGAACTCCACGAAAGCGAAACTGCGAGCGGAAAGCTAGTATTTATTATATATGATGTATATTTTAAGTTGAATACATGTGTATTATTAAAAAAGTATTCGTTTTAATTGATATCAAATCATTCTTTTAAACAAGAAAATTTTTAATTTTATTAATTTCAATATAAGTGGTAAAAATGCAGTATTGTTGAGTGGGTTACTTTCTAAGTGAAAAAGTTTTTCATTGTCAATGAAAACGCAAATTTTAAGTAGAACTTTGATTAAAAAGACATATTTTTGATTACATTTTGGTAATTCTCTACTAAATACTAAATAATTAATTTTTTCCCAAACATTTCAGTTTTATAGTTAATTATGAAAATATTTTTTATTTTCACAATATAAGGGAAATAATTATAAAATTTTGTTCGCGACATTTTACCAATTCTTGTAAGAAACGAGGACTGGTAAAATATTGTCATATTAAAACCATTTCAGAATATGCAATAAAATAGCAGTAACATACAAATTGAATCAATATTATGTGGCAAAATGTTACTCACAAACAATGCGATAAATATATGTTATAATATATCTTTGTATAGTAATATAAATTAATGTCATTCTCTAGTCTCTTTAAATCTTTCTTTCGTCAGTACAAGATAACGCTATAATACAAGGTTTTCTAGTGTTATATTTATTTGTGCGTTATATTTCCAGCGTCTTCATCATCTGAGTCAAGTGCGCCTCGAGCTCGTCGCCCGCGGCGGTCCGTGCGGGCTCGAGCACCGCCCGCCTTCGTACAGCTGGCTGACCGGGAGACGAGGACGCGAGGTACACACACACATACATACAAGGAGAAACATATACATACTCATACTTATATTATATACACACACACTCACACGGTCATACTCACACAAATAAATACGAATAGCAATGTGACAATATACTCGTACAGGGTGACTTGTCGATAATTCATTGCCGTACTAAATTTATAAAAAAATCAAACAAAGTGCCTTGTTGTCGTTCTTAAATGTATTTATTATTTTTGTATACTTGCTTTTTGACTCACAATAACTTTATGCACTTCCCAGTAGGTTTACACTATATAGGGAGTTTGTCACTGTCGGCAGAGGTTCTAGGAAAACTACGTAACTCATACGTGTATAATAAAAAAATTACATCACTATAACTCACTATACTATGAGTGATACCTCAGACGACATGATTGCTACGATTTGTGCTATCAATGCCATCGTATTTCTTGTATGGTATCAGGAATTCTCTGGTTAACATAGCCAGGGTTTCGGTTCGCGGAGATATAATAAATATAATTTGTATTATAATACTATACATTATAGTTATATTAACAATAATTTTACTAAAGGGTAGAAAAACGACCGCTATCTGGGTGAAACATACATCCACACTTCCCCGTTTAATTACCTAAGAAAATTGTCAAAAGCCTATGTTCTTATTCCAAATGAAATCAACTACTGAGTTTATACACTGTCTCTATTATCTTTTAATTTATTGACACTGTTTTAAAGTTTTTCTTTACACACATACATTATACACAGGTAAATCCTTTGCACTAAGAAAGAAGCCATACAGTCTAAGAGAAAGAAAACCGAAATTACTTCGTAGAAAAACGATCAGATGTAAGTGAACCATTTATAGCCAGTCAGTACTATCATTATGTTCAAAAATATAAGAGATGTTTTTAATTACAGCACAATCACCATCTAGCAGTAGTAGCAGCAGTAGCACAAGTAGCTCAGATACTGAGGAGGATTTAAATGTATCAATGAAAAATAAAACCAAGGGCAGGTGGGATAAGATCGAAAATGCCATAACGTTTTTTACAAGTGTGATATCTATGACTGAGAAATATGATTTGTTTTCAGACAAAAATCCAAATGTATAGATGACAAAAAGACTGACAGAGCGTTAAGGGATATACAACCTATTGAAGTTGACGGCAGTGTTAGGTTCTCATCAGTAAGTAGCGAAGTCCGTTAAGCGAAGTCCCTTGAATTCGTTAATATATATCACTATTTATTTTCTACGCTATAAAATAAATTTATCAGCGTAGAAAAATAAGCATAAAATAATCTGGATTAAAAAAATAATTCACAATAAATTCGAAACCTCTTGTGCAAAAGTATAATAGTAGGGCGGAAAAGTAGGTATGTAGCTAGCGTAGTAGCATTGCCAAAAGTTGATGCCGTTCTTCAAGTATGCGTGTACAGGATGTTTCTTTTACATGTTAATTTAACATTTTTATTGATTCTTTTTAAAATAAAAAAAAAAACATTTTGTTTTCGATTGGTAATAATTTTTTTTAGCATGTATGGAAACGGGAACGCCCTCTGTTAGTTAACATATTGTATATTTATTAAGTATTTCTATACAAAATCATAACAATTAATTTGTATGAGATAAAGTTAATGGGTGAAACGTGATAGTCTTAAATTTAGTTAATCAAAAGTAAAGCCTTAGTTTTGTTTCTTTTTAATTACTAAGAAGATACTAGACATAATTTTCTCAAGTTTTTATAAGTTTTATAAAAATATAATTTTTGTTGGTAATTTATTTATATTTTCTTACACAATATATATTTACAGGTCGGCGGTTTGGAGGAGCATATAAAGTGTTTGCGAGAAATGGTTCTCTTCCCGCTAATGTATCCGAGTTTGTTCGAGAAGTTCAAAACTCGACCGGCCAAAGGCGTTCTATTTCACGGCCCGCCCGGGACTGGCAAGACCTTATTGGCTCGAGCGTTGGCTAATGAGTGTAGTTTGATCGGCGGACGGAAGGTCGCCTTCTTTATGAGGAAGGGGGCGGACTGCTTGAAGAAGTGGGTTGGGGAAAGCGAACGACATCTCAAGTTGCTGTTTCAACAGGTGACTATGAGTTGTGAGAGACGTAGCTAGGGTTAGCTTGGCTATGTAAAGTACTCACGATGAGTTCACCCAACTCTGACATAATATGACGAGGTTTTGCATCTTCAGAATTTCTGCAAAGATTTGAAGCTTTATATAAAAAATCTATACTTTCTCAGTTAATTAGATATTTCCTAGTATTAGTCACGCAAAACTAAAGTCAAGAATTAAAAAAATGTATTTTGAAAGGTTTGAAACTTAGATTGAAATTATGATTTTAATTTCATTAGCGTATATTTTTGATTTTATTCTTAAAACGACGTTTTGTTTACTTTTGCAGTTTTCAGATTTAAATTTAGATTATTAGTGAAAACCTTAGAAATATTAACGGTTTGAATATATATTTTTTTAATACATTTTTCTACAAGATTGCTGAATGACTAACTAAGCCTTTAGTTGAGACTCGCTAGCTCGAAAGTGATTTCAACCTCGGAAATCACAGATTTAAAATGCTTGTGATTTATTTCAATATATTATAATACAATGTGATGAAAACAGTTAAATAATATGAGTAAAAAATAATTTTACAAGTGATTTCAGGCAAACAAAATGAAACCATCAATAATATTCTTTGACGAGATCGACGCTCTGGCTCCCGTGCGTAGCGTGAGGCAGGAACAGGTTCATACTAGCGTCGTGGGGACGCTGCTGGCTGAAATGGATGGAGTCTGTGACAGGTATTATCGACTTTATTATATAGTATCTAAAGTACATATTCGATATAAAATTGCTACTAAAATTATATACAAGAAAGTTGGTGAGATCTAGGTGTTGTTGGTCACGTTTAATATAGTGAACGGCAATTCATGAAACTTTTCAATAAGCTTAGCTTTCATTCCGTGTAGTTTGCAAGAGAAAACATCGTAACAGTTATATGCAATATGAAGTCACATGCCACAGACGTTACAAGTAGCTTACGATCTATTACCATATCTGTATTTTAAAAGCAATTATGTAATTAATATTTCTCTGAACACAATACCAAAGAAACGAAGATTCGTAGATGAAACCAGGGGCTAATTAACTGGAAAATAAATTTTCTGCTTTCACAGAAAGTACTAACTTCTCACAAACTATGCCGGTTAATTATGTACACTGTACACAACCAGTAATCACATTTGTTCCTAATTAGATATATCTTGAATCTAGCTGTTATTAATTATTTCTATACTATTTACAGAGGTGAAGTAGTTGTTATCGGTGCAACGAATCGTCTGGACGCAGTGGATCCCGCCCTGCGACGCGCCGGTCGGTTCGACCGCGAGCTCCACTTCCCCCCACCACACGCGGCCGCGCGCCGCGAGATACTGGAGATATACACGCGGGAATGGAACCCGCGACCCTCCACAGATACTATACTACGGATAGCTGACATCACTAACGGATATGGAGGTAGGGATGGAAACTTTGATATGAAAAAAATATATATAGGATATGCCATCATCACAGCCTATCAGAGCCCACTGCTGAGCAAGGCTTCTTTCTCACTTGGAGAAGGTTTGAGCATTAATCACCACGCTTGCTCAAGACGGGTTGGTGATTTCAATCTTATAATTGTGAAACTATAAGTCCAGGTTTCCTCACGATGTTTTCCTTCACCGTATGTCAGTGATGTCTAAATACATAGGATATAGGTTACATTTAAATTGCTTATCTTAAAAACAATAGTCCATTTTAATCCACTGATAGCATTCCTTGCTATTATCGTCTTAAAGCATGAGTCTTTGTAAAATTGTTTAAGATTTGTGTCATTTATTTAATACTAGCTTTTGCCGCGACTTCGTCCGCGTGGGATAGTGACTTCCGGCAGATTTTTGGTTCTTCCCACATAGTTCCCGTTCTTGCGGGGTTTTCGGAATGGTCGAGTTCCCGTTGAATTTTCAGGATAAAACCTATGTTTTTTTTAATTCACATGAAGTACTCTTAACCAACAACATATTTATATGTTTATTTGAATAAAAATTAATATCATTATGTTGATACAACTTAAACAAATTATTTCGACCAAATTAGGTACCAAAAAAACGGTTTTTGTGAGTTAATCTTAAAAGATAGACATATACTGTCGCGGACTGTTTTTTTAGATCATTAAAAGAGCTATTATTCTTTAATACATATTTTTTGTGTATCTTGAACGGTTTTCACGGCGCACGCAACGGAAGGCTTCAAAGATGAAATAGTTTCTCCCGTTTTTTACACATTTACCACTATATCTCTGCTCCTATTGGTCGTAGCGTGATGTTATAATATAGCTCACAGCCTTCATTGATAACTTGACTATCCAACACAAAAAGAATTATTCAATTCGAACCAGTAGTTTCGGAGATTAGCGCTTTCAAACAAACAAACAAATTCTTCAGCTTTATAATATTAGTATAGATAATAATTTTGTATGCGTTACAATCGTGGTTGGTAATACTAAATACTGGTTCTAAATAGTCACTGATAAGTGACTATTTAGAACCAGTATATTGATTGATTATATCTTTCCAGGTTCGGATCTGAAGGCGTTATGCTCTGAAGCGGTATTGAAGGCGCTGAGGAGAGTTTATCCGCAAGTGTACGATAGTGAATACGCGCTCGTTATAGATCCTAAAAACGTATGTATACAAAATTTATCGAATTTGTTACAATATCTTCTATTCTAATCGCCTTAATGAAGATGGTACTATCAACAGAATAAGAAATCTTGTTTACTTAATATCTCCTATTTTATTATATATATTTTTTTTTTTTTTTTTTTTTTTTTTTTTATGTTAAAGGTGGCAAACGAGCAGACGGCCCACTTGATGGAAGGTGGTTACCGTCGCCCATTGACATCCGCAACAAAGATGTTGCGGATGCGTTGCCAACCTTGTTTTATAGGGATAGGGAGGGGTGGGAATAAGGATATTGTAGGAAAGGGTGGGAATAGGGAAAGGGCAACCGGCTCTCTCACTCATCGGACGAAACGCAGCCATTAAAGGCTACTTCACGCCGATCTTCTGTGAGAAGGTGGTACTTCCCCGGTCGAGCCAGCCCGTGTTCGAGCTGTAGTAACTAACCACAGCTAGGCTCTACCACCTAAAAAATATATATTCTATGTATGTAAGTATTTAGTATAGTATGTATGTATATTTATATTATATATATTTATTGTTATTTGTGTTTAATAGTTACTGTACCCTTCCCACATATTAACATTATGATCCTTTACCCAAAGGTTGCCTGGAAGAGATCGCTGCTTAGCGATAAGGCCGCCTGTTGCATCTCATGCAACTAATATGTAACGAAAATGTTATTTTTTAGTTATAGAATTGGGTGCAATAAAAATAAATAAATAAATAAATGTTCTAAAGTGACTAAATACACAGGTAGAAGTCACGGAAGGTGATTTGGAGTCAGCGATGGCTGGTCTGGTAGCGGCGGGCGCTCGAAGTAGTCCCGCCCCGGCGCGACGACTACCATCATACTGCGAGCCTTTATTACAGGCGCAACTTAGAGCTGCGTTATCACTTCTCAAACAACCATTCATTAAAGGCACTGGAAAGTGAGTATGAAAATTTTAGTGATCGATAGCACACCTTGGGAATGAAACGATCGCCTCCTGGCTATTCCATCTCATATTAAATTGTTTATATAATATATGAGGCAAATATATATAAAAAAAAACCCGCTGAGTTTCATTCGCCGGTTCTTCTCAGGTCAGGGTATTTTCTATATTGATGCTTCTATATTGAATAAAGTTATTTGTGTTTGAGTTTGAGTGAGGTAAAACCTCTTAGCATTCAATGGATTCACCTTGCGGGTGTTGGGTCCATCGCGTTGCAGGGAGAGGAGCTTCAACAGTGACTGGGACTTGCGACTCCGGTGTAGGTTAAAAGGCCTCTAACTAACTCGCGTTAAACGCTCACCTCCACCATCCAAGCTTCTCTCTCTACCTTACTAAATTTGAAAAGAACCTACTAGGGCTGCCTTCGAAGTCGTAAAATAATTATATTAATGATTTTTACAGAAAATCAGATATGCCGATGTCATCCAACGTGTTATTATTGGAGGGTGAATGTTCTGACACTCATCTCGCGCCCGCGGTGTTAGCACACTTCGAACAATGTACCGTTCGTGAGCTCAGTGTCGCTACTTTACACTCGGCGCTGGCCTACACGCAGGAACAAGCGCTTATATCGGTAAATATGATATCATATAATATCGCAACATATAGGATTTTCAATTTCCTTATTGCCGCTGACCTTGATCCCAAAATAACAGCCTATTTCTTTCGGTAGCCGTTCCACAATTCTATTTATTTGTGTTAAAAATGAAAGAATGTTTGTAAATTGTTAACTCAATACCATAACAAGTAATTGAAAAAACAGATGAAAATGAGATCTAAGATTTTCGCGAGTACTATTATTACTACTAATTGCGAGTATTTCCGAAAATATTAGTTTCATCTAAACAGATGATAGTCAATGAAAAATATTCTTACAGAATATAATCTACGTAGAGTTCTTTATCTATGTTATAGATCTATGTTATCTGTGGCAGTATTATAATGTTTATATAATCTGTGGCAGTTATTCTCCGAGTGTCGTCGCGCGGAGGGCGGGTGTGTGTTAATGGTTCGCGAGGCGGAGGCGGTGTGCGGAGCCCTAGGCGGCGCGGGGCTTCTGGTACAGCTGTGGCGCTCCCGGGCCGCCGGCGACCGGACGCTACTACTGGCGACCTCGCCACATACACCGCTCACTGATGATGTTAGTTAATAGTTATATATGGTGTCCTAACAAAAGATATATTTGCTCAAAACCACAAATTGAAACCATAAAGAATTGTTACTATGATATAAATATAATAATAGGCCATCAAGTTTTAAAAGAACCTAAATGATATCTAGTGTAGGTAGCAACCCCACCAAATTATAATTAATCTTAATGGGTATATAACGAAATGTTTTTATTCTTGCTGATATGAGAAAAGAAAGTTAAAAAAAAATACAAATTTGATTCATTTATTAATTTTTGGAGTATTTACTTTCATACTTGGTATTCAGTCTTTTTTTTGGCTACAAATAGAGTTATTGTGTCTGTTTCTAATATAAAAACTAGTGCTTAGAATAAATAATAACGCTTAATACATTTTTCCAGCTCAAAGAATTGTTCCCAGCATACAAAGACTGCACATACCGAGTCCGTGATCCCACTATATCTGAAGTTATAAACTTCTTGAAGCCGATATTGACGGAAGTACCTCTAGAAGAACCTGTTATACAGAATAATGAACCGCCGCCCCCTTTACCGCGAGGTAAAAGATTTATTTTAGCGAATTATTAAGTCATAGCTACTTTATTTCATTATGTAATGGTAATTTCCCATAAATAGTATCTCATAAATAAAGAAATATTAAATCTATTAAATTCAAACTTCTGTGTCCCTTATATCTGTTAATAAAGTTTGAAAATGTTCTGTGTAATGATTATGTATTTTGTAATCAGCCCCTCCCCCTCCCCCGCCGCGAGAGAGTGAAGAAGAAATAGCGAGACGGAAAAGGAAAGAAGATTACAAGCTGAGAGAATTGAGGATATTTCTACGAGATATTTGCAGGAAGTTAGCTTCTAACAGACGCTTTTATAAGTTCACCAAACCTGTTGATCTGGAGGAGGTAGGAATAAGGATTGTGTTTCTGTTTAAAAGTTGACTAGTATATTATAAATGGCGACAATTAAAGGCGAAATTCTAATCTGAATTATTGTGGAGGGACTCAATTCTACCTTATAATTATTCCTAAATCTTTCTAATTTTAAAGCTACTTTTCTCCTTTTTTTACATTTGTTAGAATTTAGTTTTAAAGTTAATGCTTAATAACTGTGCACAACAGATTAAGAAGATGAGCACAAAACTTTACATATTATTACTCTGTGTTTTAAAATTGTACAGTCTACTTATATATTCCTTTCGCATGTGACACTAATGTCTACAATATAGTATAAAAAGTGTATGTTTTAAAATGGAATACTAGTTTGTATTCTTATAGACTCAAACTACAAATATTTGTGCTTATTGCTGTATAAATTATGGGTACGATTCCTGTTTGTAATCCCTGATTGAAATCAACTTTAGTGAGTGTTTTTCTGTGTGATTTCATCTGTGTGTGTCTATGTGTGTTTAGTTTGGCAGCTCATAAACAAATTGACCATTTTTTATTTTATTTTTCTATCATTTGAAAGCCAGTTTCTCTGCGGTAGTTTTTTAAGTAGGTTTATTTATTAATAGTCTTACAGTGTAAGACTATCAGCCCTTTATAAAATTATGTAAGCCATCTTTGTCCTTTGATTTATGGCTATGTATCTCATATATATTATGCCAGAATAATCTTTGAATGATAATAATGAATGCGTCTAGACATTTTTTTTTAAATATTTAATATTATTTTTAATTTATTTTAAAGCATACTCACGATTTTTGATGACGGAAGAAAATCGATGTTATTTTAACTGATTATTATTATTACTTATTGAAACATGTATATATTAAATTCAATACAAAAAATTCCAGGTGACAGATTATCTAGATATTATAAAGCAGCCGATGGATCTCGAGACTATAATGACTAAGGTGGACATGCACAAGTACAACTGTGCGCAGGAGTTCCTCGACGACGTGGACTTGATATGCGCTAACGCACTCGAGTATAACCCAGACAGGTATTAAAGTTAAACCACACTTATTATATCATTCGATGTTAACACCATTTAATTTTGTCGGTTTATATTTGACTAACAAACATCATGTTTTCATAGATTCTTTTCTTTATTGGAAAATGTTTCTGGATTAATTTTGTTATTTAATTTTTCTGTCTCCTCACATCTTGTATATAATTTGAGACACATTTATTCACTGTTTCGTTTTTCATACCTCCCGGTGCTAATCAAAGGGTCAGAGGAATGTCGAGGTATGAACGATGACGAGATATTATTAGATATATATATCGTATGTAATTATATTCAATATTATATTATGTACTCAATACAACCTCTAACCTTTTGTGTGAAATATTTGTATTATGTTCTATTAGCATGCCCTTATACTGTTTATTTTTTCTTGTTAGTTCTGTGTCGTACATTGTATGTAGATTGTAAATCAGCTTTTGTGTAATTTATGTACATTTTGAGGAATGGCTTAATGTACTGATCAATTGAATACATGTGAAAAAGAGTTACATATTTGTATTGTATTATTATATATAGAAAAATATTTTTCATGATTCTTAATATACTTAAATATTTTTGAATACATTTATGACGATTGCATTAAAAATAATGTTTAAATACATATACTTTTATTAAAAATAGTCTACTGTCTATTGCTGTAGTGTATTATGATAGCAATATATTTCCTTTCAGCTTTTATGACTTTATAGAATATATTGTTGGGAATTTTCTTACTCAAAGATTAATATTAAAGATGTTTTAAATTTCGATTTAACTGGAATAATAATAATCTTTTGTTCAGTTTCAACTCTAGGTCCTATACCTATAGGATATCAGCAGAAGCAATAGGAACAGTAGCTAAGTCCAGCCTCTTTCTCTGATATTTCTATTAAATGTTATATTTAAGATTTCATTCAAATACGAAGTCTTCTTTATTAACTATATGCAGAGCAAGTTAGGAACAATAGGGATGTATCGAAAAATTCAAGTCATTCATTCGTTCTATTACAAATACTTGTTTTGATAATAGGACGTCATCGGACAAACAGATCCGTCATGAAGCGTGTTCTTTGAGGGACCACGCGCATGCGCTCATCGACGTTGAGATGGACAGCGACTTCGAGCTCGAGTGTCAGGACATAGCTCGCAGACGGCGTGAGGAAGGTGCCGCTGACAACGACCTGCCTGACTTCATATACACGGCGTCCAACCTGCGTGAGTGTGCTTGTCTATGTGTATGAGTGTCTATGTGTGCGTGCGTGATCTATGTGTGTGAGTGAGTGTCTATGTGTGCGTGCGTGAGCTATATGTGTGAGTGAGGGTCTATGTGTGCCTGCGTGATCTACATGTGTGAGTGAGTGTCTATGTGTGCGTGCGTGAGCTATATGTGTGAGTGAATGTGTATGTGTGCGTGCGTGATCTATATGTGTAAGTGAGTGTCTATGTGTGCGTGCATGTATGAGTATATGACTAGATGCTCTGGTGTTTGTGTGTGTTTGGGAGTGTATAAACGTGTGAGCGCAGAACATAGTTTAAAACGTCCTTTTTATTAAGTTTAAATCTAATAAGACTCAGTCTTTACTGTACTGTTTATTAAGCAAAGACTGAATATTATTTTGGGTAGCGTGTTTATCATCTCCGCCTTAATTTCCACTTTTTAGATGGTATTTTGGTCAATCAGTGTCCAGCCAATGATATTATAATAATACATGTTTATGTTCCAGCGGACGGTCTTGATAACTCAACAAATGATAAGACGATCCGAACACCACAGAACGGCGAGAAGAACGAGACTCACTCCGCGAAACGGAAGAGGAGAAGAATTAACGCCTGGTCCAAGGGACTGGTGGTGAAGCGACAGAAAACACAGAGGGTTGGTATATAATGAACGAAATATTCTAAGCTAAGAGAGTTTTATTACTGACTACTTCTTTAAACGACTAGGTCTTCTCACTAATGCGAGTATAATATTAACCGCTTTACAATAGTCGTAAAGTGGAATTCAGAATTTATCAATGCTAATCATCATTATAATGTCTACTCATCAATTTTTCCAGAATTTTAAGGATTCATCGCTAGCGGTGACGGATGAAGAGTGTAAGGAAAACCAGCCAATAACATCCACCCCGCTACCTAACGGGTCTTGTAGCTCGGGCTCCGACGATGACGCGCCTCTCAGACGACCGGCGGCCGACCCGCTCGACAACAACGACAAGGACTATCACAACCACGTGCGGGACAGGTGATACACACACACACACACACGCACGCACGCACGCACGCACGCACACACGCACGCACGCACATGCAAACATACTACTTGCATACATGGTCATAGCAAAATTTCAGATTTTCTTAAGGTTTCACATCTTTAAATGATTTTATACTGAATCGTAATTACTGTATAATAGCTTGCATATATTATATACATTTGTTTAGTTTTGTCAATTCAATTTCCAGCCAGAATAACAAACCTCAGACTATTGGAACAGATGTTTTTATGTTTAGTACTACAGATAATTACTCCAAAGAAAGCATTTTTTCAACTAGTTTTATCTCGTAAATTTCAATTTTATCATATACATGGTCCTAAAAACATGGCCACTATTCTCGAAGATGTAGTGGAAATCCTTTATATGCTTAATTGAAAAAACTGGTTTCACAATAAGTGAACAGTAAAATTTAAGTAATAGCAAAGACTTAGTTAGACATGATTCTCTGGTTATGTCCATATAGTAAAGAGTTTAATTTCGTTTAATTTTTCAATTTATCATTCATTCCGCAAAATTTTGAACTAGAAAACATAAGTATAACAAGTTCTGAAGTATGATATTCCAATATTTAATATCTGTTAAATTTAACTTAAAGTTAGTCAAGTTATTTATACTTTAATATTTCAAAAAATAACTTACAATTACATAATTTATTGGTTACAGCCCAGCAAAAACTGAGAAGTCACCAACGAAACAATCACCAAAGAAAAGGAATTCAGGTCACGAGGCCTCTAGTGGAGGTATGTACAGTTACATACTAACAATTATAGAAAAACTAGCTGCGCCCCGCGGTGTTACCCGCGGATTTCCGGGATGTAAAGTAGCCTATGTATTATTCCTGGACGTCAGCTTGCTGTATACAAAATTTTATCAAAATCGGTTCAGCCGTTTGAGCGTGAAGAAGTAACAAACATACACACACACTCACAAACTTTCGCAATTATAATATCAGTAGGATAAACAGGGTCTTCGATAAGTCTGCTAAATATATCAGAGTTCATGTCTTGGGTGTATTAAATAGTTAAATTTTGCTTTTTACTTAACCACGGAATAAATCATAGAATTATCAAAAAATAAACGATATTCAAGAGAACTTTATTGTTAATGTGAAGTGTAGTTTAAATCTGGTTTAAGATTTATTGATAGATAAAATGTGTTAATCTGCGTTGCGTGCTTTTTATTGACACAGTCAGATGGAATAGAAATCAAAAAATATTGCAATTTTTAATATATATAATATTTTTTCTGTCACGGCATCAAAATAGTGTTAGTGGTTTTACACTTGTTTTGATCTATTTGTTTCTTAAAGCAGACATTATTCATTTAGCTCTGGGCCCATTGAGATGTCCATTAAAAGTTTTGTTCAAGTGGTAGCTAAATGGCAGATGTCTGAATATTGCAAACTGATAATATTAGGGATTATAATTTAAATTATTGTTCTATAAATTTCCAGATTCAGAGAAGGTACTGATAAACAAGACTGAACTAGATAACCTACTGTATAAAAACGCAAAGTCCTTGAGAAGCATCGGCCTCACAGCCTTACTTGATCTACACGAACAACTAGCGGCCGTTGTTCACTCATACAGCGACAAATACGATAGGAACAAACTGCCAAACGAGCTAAACACTATCATAACGAGGTACATACAGTTAGCGAAGAAGTGAATTGACAACCGGCCTTGCTGTCAAAATTACCCTTCAGACCCATCTGCCAGCGTGAATTAAACTATCAATCTGATTATACAATAGCAGCTGGGTCTAAAAAAGACAATAGCTTTATAACTAATATTCCTAACTTGAATTTATCTAGCCCTCGAACTATCCAAAGCCGTCCAAAGTTAAAGTAATTGATTTTTTTTTTGACAGAAGGCTAGTAAGGTTGGGTTGGGATTAATATATTCCATTTGAATGTTGGATGTCATATTGAACTTGAACATGTATGAGAACAGTATTCAAAGCTTTTGTTTGTGGTGTTCTAATTAAAAAATACTCTTTTAAGTAAAATATCTCGAAATAAATTTTAGATGTTTCCTTTGGTTGTACATTTTCGATATAACTTTTGTAAAGAATAACAAGTTGTTGATGTCAATTTATTGTAACTGTTTACAATAACAGCCAAATAGCACTATCTTGAGTCTAGACCAACAGTCTGGACCCGGTCTGTGATAGAAGTAGAATTGTATATATCATAGTAAATAAAATATCTTATTTCTCACTCATTATCATATTTCATGTCCATAACTTCAATATTGTATCTTATGTGGTTGTAATAAGGTTTATAATAGCTGTGGTTTTAAGGGAATGAGGTTTAGGAAAATGGGTTCAAAGCATGTCCGTGGGTCGAGAAATACATAAAGGGTTTAATTATATTTAATGTTTATGAATAGAAATAAAATAATAATAATTTTCTCATCTGGCTTTTATATATAAAAAATAAAAGTCTATAAAAAAAATATAATTAATATATTGTAAAAGTAAATAAATATAACGCTTTTGATTCTCTAAACTCATTAAAAACAGGTTGTGAAAACTGAAATATAGTTTTGCTTTTAGTGTTATGTGTATATATTTTTCATATGATTTGGTTCAACATTGAAAATCGTCCAAAATGCAAATGGCGGGTGTCCATACAATTTCATTTATTATGATCCAATCCATATTATATAAATATATCTCTTTTGTTTCATATTATACATTCATATAATTTTCATTACTTATTTCATACAAAATCATTATCTAACAAGCATTTGTCGTATCCCATAACGCATAAAAACTAATTTATTATTATTTTTTAATATTTTTAATGTATATTTAAAGCACCTAAAGAATTTATTCAATACTGCCACTAACTTAATTGTTTCCCAAAAGGCTGAGACAGGAAATATATTATGTACTGTAATAAAATGAGCTTATGTATTCAATGTGCGGTTAAAATGAAAATGTTCATGCTTAGAATAAGACTTGTCTTAACACTTAAATTATTTTATTGAATTTAACCTAATTAACCTTTGTATTGTGTAATTATTTAATGGACACTAGCGACCTCTTGAGTATATAACATGTACTAATATTAATTCTTTAATTCATTTTAATTGAATATGTTTAAATGTATCTAATCATTTATTTCGATATCAAACAGCAGTGGACATTATAAATTGCTTTATTATATTGGTTTTTATTGATCTTTTTACTCTATTTGAGATACATATGTTTGGTATTACATTAAAATATTATTTTGGATGCTTTTTCTATGACTGTACTATGTATAGGTCAAATAAATTCTACTGACATAATTAATTGTATGTTTAGAAACATGACTATGTTTATCAAACGGTATGTTTCCATTCAGAATGTAAAAAAAATGAACAAAATAATATTTTTTAATGACAATGAAATGTTCTAATTTTTTTGGCTATCTCATGCAACACTCAGACACTATTATGTGTTCTCAATGTGTTTTTTGTTTGTGTCTGACAAATGTTTTATATTCCGATGTTTCGCTCTTTTTTTTGTTGTCTGTACAAATATTACCATCTTTTGTTCATCATGAGATAGTTTTTGCTGTTGTGTTATGATACTAAAAGAAATAGAGAGCTCGATTTGGGACAATTTGAGAACATTTATAATGAATACTTTGGAAAAATGCAATTTGATATTATGTTTGTATCATTTTAATATTCAATACTATTTATAATATTATTTAATAATTTTTGAACATAATATCTATTTTAACGCTGTTTGGTATCGGAATAGTGAATTAGGAGTATGTAACAGATAAAAAAATTATTTTCATTCAAAATGTATGCTGATTTCTCTTCATATATTTTCATTATTTAAATTAATAGTACTTAATAACTTTATATACGCAATGTTCTATTATTATTATAACTCATAAATTTTTTAGTATGTCCGTATAATATTTGTTGTAAATACATTTAATTTATATATTTGCATTATTTTTTTTATTTGATTCTATATAAAACTGTGTGATATGAAAATACAAAAGCACATAAATAAAATAGTTACCTCAAAAGAATAACTTGGAAAAATATGTAGTTATGATATAATGAATAGTGTTTATAAGAATTCTGCCATATCCTGACCTATGGTGGTTGTTTTGATCGAATATTGTTCTGTTGTTACCATTTCTCTATACAGTTTACTAATTTCATATCAGTTGGAACGATGTAAATTTACAATAAATAGTTATAATTGTTGTAATGACTTTGATAATTATCATTGAATTCTATTGTACGGTTCAAACGAATTTTTAGAATTAATGTATTGTAAGAGCGTGTGCAGTATCAAACACTGTTTGTATAAAATAATTATTGATATAATAATATTTCATGATTAATAAAAGAAAATATTGGCAAGTCTTAGCGACTTACAGCATTGCTTTTAGTATTTTATTTGAGTATAATAAATTTTTTATTACTATTTTATTTTTGGAAATACCAACTTCTGTTTCAGTAAATAATGTTGATACAATAGAAACGGTAATTGTAGTAAATTAAATATCTTTACTATGTCAATTTAAAGTTTATAAATATGACCTTATAAAAATTTTACAAAAAAAATAATAATTGAATATGGAAATTTTTAGTTGTATGGGAGAAAAAAAGCTTGCCATTGATTAAGTTTTTCATTATAGTGTTGCCAATAATAAAATTAATAACTTTACAGCCAATATAGAAGTAAATTTGTTTTGGGAGATGTTAATCAAAATATTTTAAAAATAAAGTTGAACCGGTTATAAGATTAGATATTGTTGATCAAAATCTTATTGTATTATAAGGTTTGTGATGCATTTTGGCGTTGATTTTAATTGCTTTCTCCATTCTTTTGTGTTGTTTATTAAAATATAATACACTGTGAAAATTAAGTAATTGATGGCAACCGAATTACAGCTTTAATAATTTATAACAAATATAATTCTCATTTCATTATAAAACTAATTTTAAATTTATTGATTTCACGCGTATCTTTAATGTTTATTTTTGTATTTTTTCGTTATTTAAGAAATTTGTTTTTAGTAAAATTATTTTAGAGTGGAATTAGGTTTAGTTATTATTGATTATTATCTTTTTTTATGTTTTTAAAAGTATTGAGATTAATGGTTTTTTGTAATTGAATTGGCCTAAATAAAAATTTATCATAATATAATAAATTGCATTAAATAAATGTTACAGAAGATAATGCATGTTTGATACTGCAAGTTATTGTTATTTCAATGAATCTGCTTGCATTTGCTCAATCTGGTGTAATATTGTGAGCGACCACCGTTAGTGTATATTTGTATTTATAAAATTGTATTTAATAAAAATAAAAGGGTATGCCTTCATGTGATAACTGAATATGTGTGTTTTAATTTCTAATATAATTCATTTTGTTGATATTTTTTATTTAAGATTTTTCTTAAAGCCACTGGAACTCGTAATGGAGCATAGCAGTATCTTTTCGTTCTTTTCTAATTAATTTTGAGTTCGATGTTTTCAGTTCAAACATTAATTTAAAATTTGCTTAAATGTTAGAAAGGTAATATAATACAAATTTCATGTTTGACTGTATTTTTTCCCATTTTTGTTATTTATCTTATTTCATTTAAGTCAATGGTGGCCTAGTGGTTAAGGGGCTCGCCTCTCGTTGCCGAGGGAACGGGTTCAAACCTGGCAAGTACCAATGTGATTTTTCGGTAACATATGTACTTTCTGAGAGTATTTAGACACCACAGACATACGGTGAAGGAAAACATCGTGAGGAAACCTGGACTTATAGTTTCACAATTACAAGTTTGAAATCACCAACCCGTCTTGAGCAAGCGTGGTGATTAATGCTCAAACCTTCTCCATGAGAAAAAGAGGCCTTGCTCAGCAGTGGGCTTCTGATAGGCTGATGACATCTTATTTCATCATATGCCATAAAATTTTGTTTTGTCTATTAGAACTATTTATATTGTATTAAATTTTTGCCTTAATTTGTAAACCAATTGACTAAAAGTTGCGAAAGTATCGCTTGGGACAGATTATTAAAAATTTGTTCGCAATAATACGAGATTTATTTATTATCTTGGTCACAAAATAAAGGTTAGTAAAAGACCCAAGTACAAATGTTCTTCGATTGATAAAGTTTCTAAAGATGAGGTAAATATTCAACATAATGAAAATTCTGGTCGCACTTTTTAATTAATATTTATTTTATTTAAAATAGAAACGGGTTATGTATTATACAAATATTAGAAACTAATATGAAAGTAATAAAAGCATGATACTTTTTTTTCTTTGGAGTTAAATTTTTTAATAGTGATGTTAAATGGTTATATCAGTATTTTATCTTTTTTTACCTTTGTTTCTGTGGGTAAAGTTCTAAAATATATATTTATATAATATTATTCGTCAATATTGAGCACAAATTGTCGACGGGCAGCAATGAAACATCTTAGCGGTATTTCATATTTTTATTTTTACATTTTACGTCGGTGACCGTAAACGAATTTTACTACATCGCTCCATCGTTTCAATTACACGTTAAAATGGTACTAGAACATAAATATTTTTTTCGTATTTATTTTTAAGATCAAATAGATAATCTTTTTTACATCCTAATGTAACGATATCATTTAATTTATTTTGTAATTATATTAGGCAAATACAACAAATGAAATTACACAACTTATAATTATATCTTTATCGGGAGAACAATTATTCTAAGCTAAAAATAATAATATTATTATTTTTTATAAATACTCGTAACAAAAATGAAGGAACTAAAATATTTGATTTCTACTAAATTAATACAATCACATTTTTATAAACTAAAACATACATAAATTCTTATATTTATGTCCCTATTAAATTTACGTCCTTACATTTGGCTCTTGGTGATAATTGTTTGCAATACACAAAATTAAAACATCAACTTTGAAAAACCATTAAGTAAATATAACAAATGTGTTCATAGGAAATGTAAAGAAAAGGCAACATCATAGATCTGTACAACCAAAACAATTATAAATCTCATCTACAACGTAAACTATGTTCTATGAGATTCCTATTGCTTATAGAAAAATAATTAAAATATGTTATAATAGTCACTATATCCTCCGTCGCACACATTAACAAATAACAAACTTAATTAAAAACGTTTCGATTAAAACTTTAACAAAATCACTCTAATACTGCTGGATTTGTACGAATTAGGTAAAGTTTACAAATGACGACGAAATTTGCGATCACAAGTCACTATACAACATAAAACTACTTTGACAGATAAAAAAAACAGTTACGGAAAGAAAGTGAATTGAGAACGACTGCTGATATTATAATTTAATTTTTTGGCACATGCATTTAATATATTATACTAAATTGAAACGATATTGAATGTACTTTTAATTAATACAGCCGTCTCCATTAATTTCCATATAAAAAAAATATATTTAGCTACATTAAAACTTTATTATACGCCCATAGAGATGAGAAAGTGGTTTAATTTAATATTGAAATCGACTTTCAGTTTTAACAATAGAAGCGGAAAGAAAACACAGAAAAGAGCAGTAATTATACAATCTGTTAAACTATAGGTACATATTATGACAATTATACAATTCGTTATATTTAAAAATCCCTGTAATGATATATTGTAAAATGACGTGACTCTATTGTGTACTACAGCTTTCGTTCTGTTATCCGGAGTTACTGTGATCATTATTTATACAAAAGAGAGTCGAAAATAGTTTTCAGTCTTCAGAGTTATGCAGTTTTTAATGTGTATCGGATCGTTTAATTATATTCAATGTAATTCAATTAATTAAAACGTTCTGTGTGCGGAGACCGCGGTGATGTGGTACAGATGAGGAAATATTCTACAAAACAATTCATCATAAATTTAATAATGCTCAAGGAAAACATCATACCTCCCCTCAGCTATAAATTTATTGTATAACTAAATCGTATGTACACAGGTAAAGTTTACGACTTGTCCTTTATAGTCACGTGGCATCTCTAATTCAATAAGAAATCATTGTATACAATTAATTACCTAAGCCAGGTAGTGTCGACTTGATTTACACTAACTTTCATTATTCACTAAAATCTTGAAAGCTCCTTTTTATTTGAACATTGAGTGCAGATACATTATTTGTCTAACCTGGCGCGCACTGTCTTCATTGGTAATAGAATCTTTGTTTTTTTAATCTGTAATCACAAAATTGCTTACGTCACGATGTAATGGACCACCCGAATGATTGCGGGCTCAAGCTCACGAACTCCGTGATGTGTTTTATTTATGTTTTACACGATCGCGACTGTCGTTTGTGTGACGTAAAAATTTTTTGGTATTAAATAAATTTAATTTACATGATCAGTTGGCCTGGATACCTTGTGTGGGCGTGACTAGTGCGTCGCGGACCTTCCTATGACGACGTCATCGACTCGACTATCGATAATCGAACAGTTCACTGTATTCACCTCACTAATTCTACAACAATTACAAATACACTACTATTTACCATTTTAGACACGTGTGTCTCCTTAATTAATGGTTAATTAAAATTTATATACCATTAATTTATATAATAACTATTTACATTTAAAAATTGTTAATACGAATAAAACTATTATTACGAAATATTTTACAAACTTTGGTGAAATGCGGAAGTCAACGTACGTGTAATAAAATAATATCTACAACGGAATCAACACAGGACATAGACAAGAATACGTTCAGGCATAGACTTTGAACATGAAAACCGTAGATTATAGTGATATGAAATATAATTAAAAAATAAACTCAATTCAAATATGGAATGTCAGAATGGAATGTAACAAAGAACACATCGCCTCATCGATAACAATCACAACACACCTTTCATACTTATTGCACTCCTTCGGAATAATAAATTATCGCCTATCACTTATGAGACTTTAGATATACATTTACAATATAACCACATCTTTATTTTTATAATAAATTTAACTAATTATATACGTGGACGCTCCACCTGAGCCGTGATAACCTGACTTTGATTAGATCTAGCGAAACTGAAATTCTTTCAGTATACTCCATATATCTAAGTTTAAAAACATCCTCTATTAGATATTGCACGATATAATTTAAGTAAATAATATACAATCACAATAAACGTCTCAGGGATACACTAACAAAACTCCAGTTTCACCGTTGCTTATAGCGTACCTAGCGATGGTGTCCATAGATTATAGAAACACGACCTCCCGAACAAAGAGCGGGACGAGGAGGTCGTGATATTTAAAAGGTACGGTGTTTAAGGTTTAAAATATTAGGGGCCAGGCATCGAGTCGTTAGGGATATTGTTGTAGTAGGGCCTAGCGGCGAGTCTAGTCCTGTCCGTTATGATGCAGTAGAGGCGGCGCCGGGTGTGGTGGGAGGGGTGCGTGCGTCCTGAACGAGTCACTCTCCTCGTCCGCCGAGTTCTCCTTAGAGCGGTCGCTCTTACAGTCCTCCTCCTTGGCGGCGGACAGCGAGTCCAACGCCATAGGCATCGACTGGTACAACTCGCGAGCCTTCTCGCTGGGAGGCAGTAAGTGCAACATGTTCAGCGGCATGGGGAACCCCGGGGGGAACTCTGGGTAGAACCCTTGTTGGAAGGGATTGAACATGCCGGGGATGTCTGGCTCCGAGCTGGCCGGCCGCTGGCTCGCGCTGTGCTGTTCGTCCTTATCGTGATGCTTGCTCGGGTGGTTGTTGTTGTTGTTTCCTGAGTTCAAGTTCAGTACTTCAAGGGGTCCTCCGATGCAGTCCTTCCGTAACTGCTCCAGCTTGAGGCTCTTCCCGTATTTACCTCTCACGTACATCAGCAGTGAGTTGTATGGGATGCCGAATATCCTTGACGCTTGGCTCGTAGTCATCTTCTTGTTCCATACGTGTTGCAGGGCTTCTGTTAGCTCAGCGTTTGTCCAGGAGCGAGGTGGTCCTCCGCGCGGGGCGCTGTGCTGGCCCTTAGGTCGCCCTGATAACAGAAAGTTTATATCAGAAAAATCGTTTATACTTACAATGCTCATAAAAAATGTTTCTAATTGGATCGTGATGGTAGAATCGGATGATTTACATTTGAATAATATGAAGTCGGTGGTTGTAATTGCAGTCACGTGCACGATATGTGCCGTGAGCGGGTCGCGACAACATTACAGAATGCACAGCTATCTAATAACCGTGTTTTGGCAAAGCAATAAGTCGGTGGCGACAGTCGACACGAGCGAAACGAGCGAGCCGCGGCGACGCGCCTGGATTCGTCATTAATTTGTACCGGCACGCGACTATTAAGGCGGGTCTGTCAAAAAAAGCGGACGTGCATACGCCGGAGACGTCGCCCCGACTAACTTTATAGTTTTATAATTTCAACGGATCACGTTAACATGATTCCGATCAGATAATTTGAAGAACGTTTCGGATTACGGACGGAATGATATTTCATTATGGAAATTAGTTTTTCTTATAACGGTCGCCGGGAACACGCGAGCTCTATCCGCAACGCGGAAATTAAAGACGTTTATAGTTTGGCTCGTTAGCATTAACATCGGCATGCATGTAGCAGTTTGGATGGGCGCTAATCGATCGGGACTATTGTGTGAGCGACGGGGACTGGAGTCGTCGGCTGCTCGTCGTCGTATCGTCGTCGTGACGGAGTCGGCGGGCATTCAAAGCACACGTTAGACCGGCCGCCTCTCCCCCTATGAGATACGTTATCAGATCGTCTTAATAAACATTGGCCGGGAAACAATGCTCGTTTAACATTTGCGAGCTCTGAGATGTGTGATGGGATGCAGTTGATATCTGCATTTCACTAATATCGACTCGCTCTATTGTTACTACATTTCCATTTAAACCGATACATTTAGAGAATTAGATATGGTTATATAATACTTTCGAATACTGGAAGTTGCTTTGTTATGTTTTTATTTGTTTAAAAATATCTTTATTATACAAGAAAAATTTGATTTAAATTAGACATATGTAACAGAAATATGAGTAATAGTTACAGCTTTTTCGTTGGAGATTTAAATAAAATAATTAAAACTAAAAGACGTTATAACTAAAAAAAAACCAATGTGATTCTACCATCAATACTTAATTCAAATTAATTTAACAATCAACTTACATTTCTTCTTGACGTTGGTGAAGAGTTGTGCATCGAGAGGTGGCGCGCGATGTTCCACGTCCATGAGGGGGTACATCTTGTGTTCGAGGCCCGGGGGGAAGAGGCCCAGGGGGGACTCCATGCCGAACACTGGAATAGAAACACAGTTGTAATATTGGCGGTACATATGACAGGAATTGACTAATTAAATTTGTTATGGTCAAATTCAAATTTATGTCCAAACACCAAATAAAAAAAATGTTCGGAATATTAAGTATTGATTAGATTTTTATAAAATAACAGTAAAAATCATTTGTAAGGAACATTTTTAAAGATGTTTGTCGTGTATAGTGTAATCCATTACGATTTATTTGAATGAATGCGTTCACCAAAGAACTACTTGAAAATTCTTTCGGTTAAACATTTCACTAATATGCGTAAGTTAAATCCAAAAATATACTTTTATTCTTGAAGTGCTTATTAATATATCAGAAAAAAATAATAAAACGATATAAGTTTAAAAGATATAATAATTTATAAAATTACAGGAAATAAGACAAAGGTTTTATGACGTGTAAATCTAATGTGTGACTAATAGTATAAAAAAAGTGACGGTAGAAATCAATTAACTGTTTTACAATAAAAACACTATAATTATCGTTATTTATTAACGATATTTATTATGGTTCAAGAAATCTTGTACTATTATTATATACCGAAGTTTTAAAATTCTAAACAGCACTGATAATGTATTAAAACACCGCTACTCGATACTAGATGGCGCTACACTGATAGTGTCTTACGTGATGGTTAAATAGTCCGATACTTTTTTAAGGTCCTTTTCATTTATTAAAAATAAGTTTTAACTTCTATCTAATAAATGCATAGTTTTTTCAATTACAAAAAGTAACTATTTAGATACATATTTACATATTATAGATATAATAAAATAAATTACAATAAGTTGACTTAATTTAAAACACAATCATAACTCAAAGAGAAAACACAACATTCATAAAGACAGGTAAACTGAATACATATAATAATGTAGCATTGTCAGGGCCGCTATAATAAATGGGGGATTAGGCGTCGGTCTGTGGATCCGAATGTATTACGGTTACTTGGAAGCTGTAAATATGAGGTGTCGTCCGTCGAACCAAACGCGTCTAATCGATAACACAGCTTTATTACTATTCTATCTCTGATACGTTCCTTATGAATGTTGCTAGATGCAAAAATATAATAGTATTTCTGGGTAAAATTACCTTAGATATTTATGTTTTTTTAGGGTAAATATAAGTTACGATTAATTTGATATTTGTCGCCGTCATACTAAACATATACATATATATTACATAGCTAGATTACGTGACTTGTATTTGAAGATAATCAAATGTAATAGTATTTTTTCAACAAAGATATCAATATCCTTTACTACGAGGGATGAGAAATCGATATATTTCTGTGTGATTGTCGCTAGAGTACAAAGTAAGGTTCTCAGTTAAGACAACGATGTATTAAGTGCAGACAAAAGTTTACGGCTTGAAATTTGCTTCATTGAAAGGAGCTAAAACATGATATTTTTCGATAATCTACTAGTACTGTAATTGAGAAAGTAGTGATAAGTACTGAGATATATGAATTCGTGGATTTGTTTAATGTTTTCTAAAAGAAACTATTGAAAGGATTATTTAAAAGCTTTACTTGACAATACTTACTACGTAAACAAAAGGAGGATATGTGAAGGATACACCTATATACCTCTGTGTTTTTGGTAATTCCTTTTCTAAAGGAACATTTTTATGTCGTTTTTCCTAATAAGTACATTGTTTGGTTGTTAATAATGGATGCAAAACGTTATAAACCTCAATATAACTGTGTTAATATTGACTATTGTTCATACCATAGTATATTTCGCAGAAAAATATAATCCCTTTGTTCTCGACAATAGTTTAGTAGTTTTTGGAAAATGTTATGATTTTATTAAGTTATTACTAGAAATATATAACAATTTCATTCGAATTTTAAATGTAACATTCTGAAAACTAAAGGATTATGTCTTTTTTTGAGATCTAAAGAGAATTTATTTTTATTTACATTATCTTATTCGTCTACTACTTTTACGTTACTCACTTTAATCAATTACATATTAGCGATGTATTAGATATTGGTATCAATAATTTGAACCTTAAAACGCCAAATAAATTTCAAGGAAAATTGTTCATAAATTTTGTAACAGTTTATTAATTATTCGGTCTCAATAGTTGTTCAAAGGTGTACGTTACGTTGTACGTGGGATATATCCCTTTATAGGTACCTTATAATTTACTAGTTTACGAACTGCCTGTTTCTAAACCTAGACTAGTCTAAATAGTATGTGAGACCTATGTTATTAGACTTACTTATTTAGTTATTCACCACAAGTAATAACGTGATTACTTATCCGTAACTTTAAAGCTTTGAATGGCTTTAAGTTGATATTAATTTTAATATATTTCGAGCACAAATATCTCATGTAGCAATATTATATTAACGCGTTGTTTTCTTTTAAATTTATTGTGAACGATTTTATTTATGTACCGCATAAAGAACTTTTTTGTTATGTATCATATTAAAATATGTATGACATTAAATTCACAGTTTCGTACGAAAATTTTAAATTCATTTTTGTATAAAATAACGCCATTAAAATAATTTTTATGTTGCAACTTAAATTTTTCATTGTTATAATAAATTGTGTTAACTTATATCCTTAAAATGGCGTGAAATTTTATATTAGTCAAAGGTGAAAGTCGATAATATTGACATTATGCAGACGATTCATAAATTAATTTCTCAAGTAATAATTGTATTTCTTATTTGTATAAATAAAATAAATTAAAGTTTTGTTGAGTAACTTATTATTAAACAAATTAATTTAGAATGTTAAAGATAATATAGAAATTACATTTATAAAGTATTCGCTAAATATATGTTTTTATATATTTTTGTATAATAGTGCCATTTTGAATGCATTTCGTAAATGAGTTGGCAGTTTAAACCTCACGTGTGGGAACTATTCCCGAGTTTTATTACTCCGAGCTAACGGACCTATAATTCGTATCACTCGGTAAGCCCGGATTACTAGTTATTTTGCATAATTAACTGCTGCGAATACTTTTCCAGCTTAGTTTATTAGCAATCACCTATATACATGTCAAGATTCAGACGATTGTTCAATCATTTGACGCTAAATTGAAGTGAAAAAGTTTAAGTAACATTTTCATTTATTTTCCTATTATCATCTAAATCGTTCTTTTTTTATGTGCAAAATTTCTAGCAGAATAGCGTAAACCTTGCGGTCAATTAGTCGTGCCGGAGTCGGCTACTTGACGCTTTCTAATTCTGGTCTTTGAGCCTCACAAAACTAGTGGACCATAAACAATGTTTTACGAAACCAGCGCAATACCTATGTCAGCATTCAATTCGATATATTTTTTTTTCATTATAACTTTTTTACGTTCAACAGTTACGTCGACGGACGTGTTAAACGGTTTCGAATTGGTTCAAACTCCGTCCAACTTATCGATCCGCTCCATATGAAACATGTTGAAACCGAAAGCTCCGCAGCCCCCAACCCTTTCATAACTTGACAAACTTCAAGCCGTCCATTCATAGAAGGCAACCCTCTCTCTCTGTCAGGGTCACGCACATGTGTTGTTGTGTCTCACATGCGTATCGGTATAACCCGGCCGGGGGGAGAGGGTGTCTGTGCGATGGGAAGGGTTGTTGGTTGGATACCTCTCTCCCCGGCCGGGTTACACACCACGTGCTGTACTAGGTCGGGAGCGTTTCATTCACACACTGTGATTCAGTGTGGGACGCTGTTGTGTATGGTCAGGCCGCGCTGTTTATTTTGCAACTAGATTTACAACTATAACTGTAAATTAAGTTTATCGAGCTGAGTCGTATCTAGGTCGTATGGAATCAGCATTAATTATCGCTTTAATCTCAGGTCCGATGTCGACTCGTACAATAGATCACATGATAGATAGCACGCCAAGGACGCGAAAGTAATGGCGGCGGGCAATATGCATCGGAACTGGGTTAGCCATTGTCTGAGAATCAGAAATACATAGAAATTGATGTGAGGAATAATTAAATAAAGAAGTCTAGGTCGGGTGTTATCCTTGCATTGTTCAGTGATCGCGTGTACAGTGTAAGTGCTAATTACATAAATAATAAGGGTGCATACTAGCGAAGGAAAAACTTCGACACCAAGACGAACGCATACATTTTTATGATATAATAATTTATAATATATATTGGTAATATCGAAATCGGTTTTTCGATGTAAAATACAGTTATCTGTATTAAAAATATATATCAATTGTATCCCGTTTTATTATAGATGTGATTTATTACAGCAATAACTTTTACTTCTGCGCCGAATGTATGGAGTTTCAACGAACTGGTTTATAATATACTTAAAACAATTATTGTTACATTATTTGATTGCTTTCTTAATAATAATACTTACATGTTTTTTAAATTAAGGCACTACGAAGTGATCAATAGGGTTGTCGAAATATTTTTCTACCGTTAAATATAATTCAAGTGGTTCTATAAAATGGTTAATGTTAAACATATTTTCCATAATGCAGTCTTATGTGGACGTTATTAATATTCTAATTCATGATAACGATCTGCTCCTCGGAGAAGCTGTAACGGGTTCAGAGCACTTCATAGCTAGATATAAATTTAGTTTTGAACATAAGTTACATTACTAGGAAGTTTCGTATTAGTTATATGTATAAAACGTTAAATTTAAATTAAATTATAGATAGATGAAATTTAATATAAATTAATAATTGTAATTAATGAATAATGAAACACATCCCTGAATTAACAAGCTCACATTAGACGAATCACACATCGAGTCAAAGCCTGGGAGAGTTTCATACAAATGAATTGTAGCCGTGATAATTTTTATTCAACCAATTTGATTCTGAGCTTTTGTAATCTGTTTTCGTTACTTTCCATACGTTCCGTGTGAGCCATTGTCTTTGTCTCGATTGTCTATGCCCTACAAAGAGGTTTAATATCTAACTTTTCGATGGCCGATTTACTGTTGAGATGAAAACCGGCCATTGTTAAAAAACTGCTGACGT